TTACGCAAGTACGAGTGTATTTTTGACATGCACTCACACGTTTTATTTTTCCTCTTTTCCAGGACGGCTGGAAAAGAACGACGAAGTTTCGCAAGGAACAGAAATTTTCATTGTACTATATTTCTTTATTGCTACGTTGTACATTTTGGTCCCATAGTTTAAGGAAAGACGACCAGACGCTGCTAAACGAAGCAAGCTATCAGAAGAGTGTTTACCAACGACAAATTCGTTGGGTTTAAACTTCTGGCTGGTCACGTCTTAGGGGCATCACTACCTCACTAGGGGGGGAGTGATCTGTAGCTGTAAATAATTCCCCAAAATCAATAGCTCATTAAGTGTTCGACATTGGATGCTGACCACGTTGTTTAAGTGGACTTGTTTAGCTGAAGGCTTTCGGTCATGCATCCGCACCAGATCACGTTTCAATACTGCGTGGGACACAGCTCCTACGTTTCATTAGCCAGCTCATAGAAAAGGTCCTCGATATATTGGTAACGAATCAAATATATCTTTCCTGCCTCTTCTCGTTTGACTTCTGATTTTCTATCTGACTGGTAACAACCGAATTTAGAAGGTGCTACTGGTATCTAGTTGTAAAACTAGAATATCCGTTGCATCCTCAACATCATTTTTTTCCCTCATTCACGCTATTAACTCTGATTTGTTACTAACTTCAACGTAATCGCGAGGAAAACACAATTCGTCTAGAGTAGATTTATATTTTCTATATAACGGAAGTAACTGTTATGACAAACGGTGACGCAATTCGATACTAATACATGGTCTGCTATACGCCAGCCCCCCCCTAACTGACTACATGTGTGAAGACACAAGTGTGGACGAGAAATTATTTTGGGCTACCGAGTAAAATGCACAAACATACCACTCTAATCCTTAGAAAATTGATCCATTTATTAGCCAATGAAATGCACTTGTCCTTTGGGACACTTATGGTTGCCGTCGGATTACCTTCTTATTTCTCTACATATAAGTGGTTACCACATCAGTAATTCTGTAGTGATGAGGCAGTGACACGGTGTAGTATCAGTTTATATGTTAAGCCCATATACTTTATTCTAGTTGCTGGCCAAGCCAATTCGCCTATCCATTATGAGTCATATTTTGATCTTGTTAATTATTCCCTTATTGACCTTGACTATATTTTTATATGAGCGTATGTGTATGCACACTTCTTATCCTACCTATCACATGTCTGTCATTTATTTTAGTCTGACTATAAATGTTGATTAATGCTTGCTTATAACGAGTTGGTTTCCCAGCCATCTCCAATACGCATCATCTTTCGCCTCGCTCTCGAGTTGGCTTCTCTGCCATCTCCACTGCATGTCATTTATGTCCTGCTCTCATCTATTTACTTCATCGTTCTGATTCCCTGGCCAGATCAATGAGTGTAGGAAATATATGTATTCTAAATCCATTCTCGTATTTGACTTATTTAATTCCGTTATTCACCAACGCGGAATAAAGTCATTTATTATATACGAGTATAGACAGAGTCAGATTTACGCCGACATCAACGGGACCAACATCACAACTCATCTTTGAACATACGCCAGCATAGGAAATTCACAATGGCGATTGAATACTAAACAAAAAATAATAGTGGTTAGAGAAGGTCAGAGAAGGAACATTATAATGATGGCATGATTCGAACATGCAATGGTGGCCATCGTGACTTTTCATAATCTCATCAAATATAATTTTCTGTAAGTTAGCGCGAACCTGCTCTTTAGATATTCTAGTAAAACAGTATCCCTATCTGATTCGACACAGCAATTCCGAAAGGCTGATAATGATTTTAGAACTAACTTTAACAACCCAACACTCTTAAAAAATGTATTTTTTATTAAAAGGTCAAAACGACAAGGAATTTATTGATGTTTGCATAACAGTGTGTCAATACTGTCATCGATTTGAGTAGTATTTATGAGATTTATAAAAAGTATGTGAAAATCAGTAGCACGTTAGAACTGTGTACTTACACACATGTATCAAAAACTCCTATTTATGCTGCCGTTGTTTTTATTTCTCTTGACTTTGATTTTGTTTCCTGTTTATGGTTCATTTGGGGAGAAGAAAGTTCGGAGTAAATGAAGTCGAAAAGTAGACCGTATTGTGATCACTGGTTACTTAGTCGAATCTTATATTTAGATTCCGTTGACATTTCCTTTCCAACCGCAATACTTTTTTCTAAAGAAACTTCATTTTCATTTTGATGCGTTTCTAGACTACATTCAATCAAATTTCAACGAGAATCAGTAGAAGATAACCCTGAATTTTGTTCAAGTGACTAACATTGTCAACACTATTTTAATTAACCATTCGCTAATTATTTATAGTTTTTTAAACTCCTCAAACATTTGATTTTTTTATCAGAATCCTTTTTATTGGTCTTCAACTAAGAGTGAATCCCACTCTTGTGCATCTCAAACGTAATCGTTTTATTCCTACAAACGCTTAACTTTGTAACACAGATAAACTAACAAACCTGTCATAATCTTTTAAACAATATTATCTACCACACATCACTCTCAATCTTTTTGTTTTTTCGTCTTTCCCTTCCTGACTGCTTTTTTGTGACAGGGTTGCTGGATCATTCATTGATAAAAATTATATCGACGAGTCGACTGAACAAGTGATTTGCGTAGCGTTCTGCGAACTACTATATTTGAGAATGTCAGCTCAATATCTTCATCTTTCATGATCATAATTTCGTTCACCCACTTGTCGTTAAAGAAGGTGGGTAGTTTCGTCGCTACTATTTGAAGTACCGACGGTAAATCTAAATCACACTCGAGTATTTAGAGCGTCATTGCATTTCTTTACAAAAAGAAGTTATTCACGAAACTGTCGAGATCCTTGGCATTACCCTTGGTCTTGCATACATTTATTTTCATAACCTAAATACACTTCACTCACCTAAATCCGGTATTTTTAATCACCGTTTCGATACTTCAGAACTTTTAAGACCCTAGGCACTCACACAGATATTGTGAGTTTGAAGTCATCGAATGAAATGGTACTAACTCCGAAAAATCTGGAACATCTACAATACACGTTCAAGAACATGAATTAGAAGCATTTACCATGAAATTTTAATAATTTGGTTAAGCAGATCACAACACAACATGAAATATTTATTTGTTCAGTATTAGTTGTTCACTGTCTATTTTCAGCTGTCTATTTTCTATAATGTAGTCTTGGTTTTTTTAATCTTGTACAATCTCAATTATTCAGAATTTTGATTTTGATTTTCTCCATCTGTTTGAAATCCGGAATTATATAAAGAGTTTTTTTCTACCAGGATAATCACTGGAACTAAAATTGGAACCAGCTATCTGGACTACTTATAGAAGAGTCAAAATTAAAGTTGGAGCCATCTACTTAATTAAGCCTTGTCTGTTCAATCTAAAGATGCCACAGGTATTCGAGGTTTTACAATGCCTTTATATGTAACGCCATTATGATCGAGAGATACCAACTTAGTAAAATCAGAAGTTAAGGTTGAAGGAGTTCGAAAATATATTTGGAAGGTTTTCAGTATGTTGAGAAATGTGTAATCTAGGATGGTTAGTATTTTCATGAGATACGTGGCACTGCATACCCACGGGTGATTTGATGCCAATGAGTGATCAAGCGCCTTCAGCTAGTGTGTTCAGAAAAAATAATTAGTTAAGCATCAATGTCGAAGACTTGCCGAACTATTTGTTTGGCTGATTTACTTACTGTTACACATATGTCTGTTGTGAATTGAATAGTGATTCAGATCAAGAATCTCTCCCATCCGAATACCCATCCTCCGAACCATAATCTCCGTAAATGGTCAACTGTCATTTACTCTGAAAACTTGTTGTTGTCATGGTGTTTTGTTCACTAAATGCGTTTGCAATATCGGAGATCTAAGGAGTTCAGCTGAACTATTATGAGTCCTTGAATGTTCGGTATTGAAGAAAAAAATTATCAGTTCATTTTCTAGCTTCTCTAGGTTACTTTGATCCACTGATGTGATAACACGCTTTAAAGGTTGGGCAAGCTAATCCACTAAACTGACGTAATTTTGGAGCCGTAAATAGATTAGAGTATCCAATATCATAACCTAGCTGTTAAACCTTTTCTGTGAAGTGGGTTCTATCATCAGTTACTAACACTATGAGTATTTCCACATGACCGAAAATCCACCTCATAGCTTTTCGTGTAAAGTAACCTCTAGGACTGCTCGTAAGTACTATTTCTGGCCGATTGAAATATAAATTAATAGTAACTAAAGTATAATCTGAGTTTAGAAATTTTTTTGGTGGACCCTTTATCTGACTACAACTAGATCGCTTGTTGATTGTTATTAAAATCTAAATCACAGATGACTTCGTACGTTTTTGTCATCTTAATCCGCATTAGTGATTAACGGAATTACATAAGCTTGATACGAGAATGGATTCTGAATACTTATATTTCATGCACACATTCATTTGAATAGACAATCAGAGAAATGAGGTGGAGGAAACGAAACATAATGACGCCCAGTAAAGAAGGCGAGTGAGTCAACTCAATTTAATCGAGCAACACTCAGTATATACAGCCAGACCCAAAATAAATTACAGACACACAATGAACAGAGCAAACGACTGACACACATACGATAACATAAAAACAGTCAGGGTTAGTAAACGAGGTCAGAAAGTGGTTGGAGAAGAATGAACAAATTGGTCTGTACAGGAGCTAAAGTTGCCCATGTGAGCCTGAAAAATAGTATCAGCCACTACAAAGCTCCTTGTAGAAAATATGAATAATTACAAAATAAGTCTATTTCAACTATCCCACATGCGCCACAGTAATCGGTATGCAAAAGTTACCACGATTCATCAGATTCAGATCAAGGAATCCAATTAGGTTTATTTCATGATTGCTAGTCGACTAACATCAGTATCAGACAAGTAGTAAATATGGCGAGCAAACGACTTCATTTTATCTGTTCACAAGTGGGCTAAGCGAAGGTCGTCTATAACTGCAGATCTTAGTGTTGGAAGAACAAATAATCTATGAACAAGGTACGAAAACCCATTCTGGCTTTACCAGTATTGTGGTGGGCTAGTTCGAGAGTTTTTTACCAAACGACCCAATGATCATAAATAGCTGTTTTGTCCTTTCACATGTCCAACGCGTAAGAACAGATAATATGATTTCCAGAAACTAACAATAATTTACTTCAATCATAATGCAAGACCGGAAATACTAATGGTTCGACCTGGTATAATTGGAAAGTCTATTGCTTACTCGTAGGTATTGAATATAGGGTGCTCATCCTTTTCAATCTCAAGGTTAATAGTTAATTGAATGATTACATCATACGGGGGTGTTTGAGGGGTTTATAAGTCATTTTTACTTTCTCTTGTCTTCAGAATGTTTTGGATTAGTGTTATGATCTCACTGTTAGCAGTTATTCACGGCGAAGTTGGTCTCGCACATAATATGGGAAACCTCAAGTAATTCCTCTTTTTAGTTTGTGCATATCATTTAGAGACCGCGTTAGAAAAATATTTTATCATGCCTACGACAATTACCTCAAATATGCATATCCTCTAGATGAGTTGAGACCGCTTTCATGTGATGGGCATGATACATGGGGTAGTTTCTCGCTGACACTGGTAGATGCACTTGATACACTTGTTATAATGGACAATGTTACTGAGTTTCGTCGTGCTGCACGTGCTCTTCTTGATCACTTGGATTCTGAAAAAAATGTCAATGCTTCTGTCTTCGAAACTAACATCAGAGGTATTTCAATTCGATTATTTTATACCCTTTAGTTGTCGGTGGGCTCATCTCTGCCCATCTTTTGTCACGCAGAGCCGGGTTTGAAGTAGAACCATCCTGGCCGTGTTCTGGACCACTACTAAGGCAAGCAGAGGTGTTTGCTTCTAAGCTCTTACCTGCTTTCAACACCCCGACCGGGATGCCATACGGTACTGTCAACTTCAAACTGGGTGGGGTTCCGAGAGGAGAGACTTCAGTCACGTGCGTTGCTGGTATTGGTACATTCATTTTGGAGTTTGGAGCATTATCTCGTCTTACAGGTAGTGTTTGACTCATGTTAGCTTTCAGTGCATGAAAACCATATTTGTTCCTTTCTGCTTCTCTAACATTTTCCCATATATATTTGCATACTCATGTTTAGCTCTCAATGTTCGTTCGTGAATACTGCGTATGTTTAAATATAACGCCTGATGCGAATGCTTGGATTCTATCTGGCAACTGTATGGTTTAAACCCAAGTTCCTACATCATTAGACTACATTTATACATCCATTTTATCGATGTAGTAGGCTTTTATCTTAAGTGATCAACTCCTTTGTATGATTTCCCTACTGTTTTCAAGTTGTTTCTTTCTACATGAATGTCAATAAGATTCGTATTTTGCATATTTTCATCCATGTACACACATATCAACAGTCTCCGTTGTCACGCTTCACGTAAACCAATGAGACAATATGTTCCGACCGATTTTCTAATAAGATTTTTCATCACTGTGCTCTCCCTTTCACCACTTTATGTTTTTTCAACTGTTTCGCAAAATTCAAGCTTTATATTTTCTGCCCATTTCTTTAACCTTACGTTATCATACTTCTGCATTCTGTGCAAAAGCAAACCGGTAATCTTGTTTCACCGGCTGAAAAACCAAGCAATTTCTTCCTCTGATTGCACTTCTTATCAAGAGCTGTGTGTTTGTATAATTTAGTCTAAAACTTTAGTGTCATTCTTTTCTTGTTTTTGGTATATATATTCATGCAACTTGAATTCTTCATTTAGGAGATCCTAGATACGAGGCTGTTGCAATGCGTGCTCTAAAAGCTATGTGGAAATACAGATCTTCTCTTGGATTACTGGGAAACCATATCGATGTTATCACTGGGAGTTGGACAGCTCGCGATGCCACTATTGGTTCAGGAGTCGATTCTTATTTCGAATATTTGGTTAAAGGTGCAGCTCTATTTCGCCTTCCTGAGCTAGATTCTATGTTTCGAGGTATGAGATTTGTAGAAGTGTTGTTTTTCAGTCGTAATGGAGGAGTTTACTTTCATTATTTCCACCAAAAAATGTTTATGCCATTATTTTGGTAGTGTCGGTGTTCAAATAACTATTATCTGTTTGAGGCTATTTGTGTCAGTTGTCTGAAGCCAGACTTGAACGTACCTAGTGCTAGGGTGGAAAAAAGGGCTCATAAAATCATTTATATATAAATGTGAAAGTGATCAAAAGTGAGATACATTGGAATAATTTAGGTAAACATGCTACTTCGTACTAAAATGGTAGAAAACAACCTTTGAAATCAAGCTCCGAGTGCTGTTTGAGCAACTCAGGTTACCTTGGTACCCTCACTATCGGGTTAGGCAGATAGATAACCTTTAAACTACTCTCATGAATACATTCAACAGATTTTAACACAATGAATTAACTTTGAAGATATTGTAAGGTTTCAAAGCGGTTTGATAGCACTTTAATGTGATGGATGCTTCATTTTTTGATATAGAGATAAATAATCATGATCTTTATATGGAAACAGTAGACCTGTAAGTCAACGATAACATGACTAAGCCTCTCAAAAGCTGTCTTATCAATTCTCTGTTCATCATTTATCTTTTTATTTATTTCAACACAAACATTGGTACAAGGAGGCACCAAATGTATATGCACCACACTTCGTCACTCGATTTGTGTGAGGGTTAGGATACCACCTGGGCGCCCAAACGGTAGCAGGTGATTTTTTCAGAGGACCACTCCCCGAGCCTTTGACTTAGAGGTCTAATCCACGAAGCAATGGAGCAGTGTTAGGGGATGCAGTCCCATGGTAGCCAGTGACCAACAATACGTTCATATACCATTTGTTCTCTCAAAATCCTGGAGCCTATGCGCACCACTGATTCGGAATCAGGGTTTTCCAACTCCCCTAGGTGGATCCTCCGTACCAACCAACCCCTTTCAATCGCCGGACATTCACATGTCGAGTTTGCGATTAAATGATTACCTATACTGCTACTATATCTAGTAGCGTCACTTAATTTTCCGGAAACCTAAGGCCATCTAAAATATAGGAACCCTAGATTTTCTGTACATAAATAAACCTTTGGAGTAAAGCGTTTCTTCCGTATTTTGCGCTTTTTCTCTCATGTTCAAGTCGCTGTGTAGATCTATCCTGGGAGTTACTAGAAGAGCTTAGGAACAGAACCTAGCATTCAATTAGAAGGCTTATCATGTGGAAGAGGCGAGCTATCCGTTTACAAACCAAAGGAAGTTTTTACTGCGTAGCAGTTCTCTCCGTCCCGCTTTATGGCTTTGAAGCATAGCCATTAAGAATAGAGGATATCGGTAGTTTACTAGTATTCGATAATAGGTGTCTTCGAAGTATTGCTCGTGTGTTTCGGGACCACCGAGGTTAGACATATGGTTCTAGGTAAGGATGGGAAGTCGATTGATGAATTAGTAAATCTTCACCAACTAAGGTGATTGAGACATGTGTTACGTGTGCTTAACCACCACCTACCCTGATGGGCAGTGTTTTCTAGTGTAGGGGTAGCTTGAAAGAAAGCTGAGGGCGGCCGAGCCAAAACATGGCATTAGTCTTTGAAGCCATTGGCAATCGTACTGGGCCATTTCAATAGATGTAGACTACCTGGTTGGGATCCGTGTGATTATCGTAACCGATGGTTAGAGACTTTGAATGAGTGGCTCAAAGTCGTTTGCAGTGGCGCAGGTGCACCCACTTTTTGTCTTCTACATTCTAAGTTCCGAAGTTTTTTTATTACACTATTTCACCTTTGCTTGAGTCGTATCGTCGATCCTTAGTCTTTTCCATTACCAATAATATTGTTACCACATCTACTATCCTGGAATTCGCTTTAGCAATTTCAATCATTTATGTTAATGAGGTATATAAACGTAAACCGATGTGCACACGCTTTAGGTTCTATTTTGTGTTTGGCTGGCTGACTGAAATAGTTACTAGTGTTGGGTTTAGCTGTCACTATTAATTGATATGCCAATAATTATACTAACTTAAAATGAATATATTTTGCTGTTCTCACTACTAAACATTAGTGAAATTTTTACACGTTGATACTTCTCCAGGGAGAATCGTGTTCTTAGTATAAGAATTTTGTAGAGATTGTTGAATTTTAAAGTCAACATCATGAACTGATCTTAGGTAGATAACTAGGCGAAGAATGTCTGCGACGTAGACCATAAAAGTATTATATTCACTGTTTTTTATTTATCTTTACAACTTTAGAGTACAGATTAGCAATAGAAAAACATATTCGACATGGTGATTGGAATCCAATGATAAATAAGGATAAAGGTGGAGTTACAATGGCAGTATTTCAGAGTCTTGAAGCATTTTGGCCTGGTTTATTGGTAATTCATGTGTTTGTCTTCAAAATATTTAAAATATCTGGTTTTGTATAAAACAACTCGTTTACTTTGTATTTTGTCTTACATCATTAATTCTTTTATTTTCTAAAAGTACTATTCAGGACTTCTGCGACATATATAAAACGGTGGCTTTGCTGTTGAGTCGATTGAATTTAAACTTATGAATTCTAGTTTTGAGCTTCGCTTGAGTAGTATTACTAGTTCTCAAATACACTCGATTATGGTTTAAAGTCGTACTTGGTAGACGAATTACATTGAATTAATGAAACTGGTATATAATTCGAATTAATTTTCAAAACCCATGCATCGTGAGTCTTATCCTATATTGTCAGCATTTTTAGTTTTATGCTAGATACAAGACAATAAATTGGTGTGTCGTAGTTTCTCAGAAGGTGTATATCTTCATCTACTCTTCTATATATTTAGTTAGTCACCGGATACGTCTAGTATGCTCAAGAAAAGATTGTTATTTGTCCAGTATATTACCTGTACAATGATTGATCACTCTCAAAGTAGTTATTGTTTGTTTTCACAGAAACATTTGAACCAAAAATTATCTTTTGAATGAGTGTTCACCATTTTTATGAAATAAAATACATAGCTTCAAATAACGTACTGATGTTAGCTAGACCACCATCAAAAACCAGAAAGCACTAGATAGGTATTTCGTCCTATTAATATGGAGCTCCTTAGCACTGCGCATATACAACCCCGTCGCCAGGGGTCGAGCGCAGGACCTACGGTATCGCCCTCGAACACTCAGCTTACACTTAGTAATGTACTTGTCTAATTTCAATCAATTCACGATATCGCGTGATCATCTTCCGTTGTTTCTGGTAGATAATTATCTCAGACTCAACATGGTTGAACTCCACTGTTCATGACTTATCACTAAAGCTCCAGGATATTCATCTTGAAGCTGGCTACTAGTGATTTAAAACCATGAAGATCCTATAATCCCTACAATCCCTCCTGTAATAAAAATGAAGTTCAGTAAATAATTCTCATACTTTTACTCATAAAAAAGGAATGAATTAAGGCACTACTGATTTCTCCTACAAAAAGACTTATGCCATCTTGCAAAATTGCTCTTGAAATATTTTACCAGTACAAGAGGATCCCATGCTATAGGCTTCCACAGATTCTATATTACAAACAGTTACTCTACCAGTTATTTACTTTTTATTAAATGAAACTATTTAGAATACATAATCTTTCACATAGACGAATAAAGTGTTCTTAGAGATCACTTTAAACAGATTTGTTGACCAACTCTTTCTAAATACTGGTGCTTGTCCTAAATATATGTAAACTTTCTTCTGAACTACTTTAAACTTTTTATTACAATCCAAAATTATTAGGATACTTTCTGAATATATTCCCTGCAAAATGACATTGGATAAAATTTTTTTTTTACTGTTTTAAAACATTCTAATTAACATACTGGTCATCTTCCAATCTTATTCAGATTTGATGTTGAGATGTATATCAGTAAGTACCGTATATTTACAAAGTTGACAATGAACTCTACTATCTTATGAACTTGGTAAGTGAAGGTTAAGAATCTTCCGTGTTTACTTTGGACCCATCTTCAATTTAATTGACAATTATTAGGCGACATGCTACTTTCTCATATGGCACTTATCCATGGATTGTTTTTACCTTCAGTTTATTTAACTTTCCTTATAAAGAAGTTATAGTAATCAAAGTTTCTAAGTGTTTTTTTTTATATTTTCAGTTTTGTCAGGTAAATTTAGCAATATAATTTAAAATATTTAATATAAAACAAATTCCCTTTGATTTTACAATCATTATAGACACTTACAGGTGATATTGAGGGTGCTCGCAGACATTTGATTGCTTATCATGAAATATGGAGAAAATATGGATTCCTTCCGGAGTTCTATAGTTTATCTGATCATAAAGCTTATAAGGGTCGTGAGGCATATCCATTACGACCAGGTAGGAAAATATTGTCTAGTTTAAAAGTCATTTTTTGCTTTTATTTTCACTATTGATTTTACACTTCATTCGTAGGATCTAAACAAATGAATGTGTCAAATGCAAACCGTATTTACTAATAAAAGGCTATTTACATAAAATAGTTTTAAATAGGCTTTGGTATAAACTACACTCTGATTGTTAAAGTTAGTGACACTACCCAGTTGCTCAAAGTGAAGTAGAGTGGAGTTTAAACCTGAAACTTAGTGTTTAACGTGTTCGTCTTTCGTTAATCTTTTCTGAGTTATGCTCTCCTTTCGTTTTTGAAATATTTCTATCCTGAAAATGTCAAAATAATAGATGGATTTATTTTTTTCCAATAGAATTAATTGAATCCATTCTCTACGTATATCGTGCCACACGTGATCCTGCTCTGATTGATATGGGTGTGGATATTTTGACTTCAATTGAAGTCTCAGCGCGTACACCTTGTGGTTTTGCGACGGTAGGTATTTTCGTGTTTATTTATTATTATATCGATATGGAGTATAGTAAGTAGCTATTCAAGGTAGAAAGCAATCAGCTTATTGTTGTTTTTATGAACATTAGTAGTTTGTTGAAGATACTTTAGTTTTCTAGTATAATTTGATATCATTAACTAATTGAGTTATCACTGCCTTTCACAGTAAAAAAACTAATTTCAAATATCTTCACTGAAAATATTTATCCTGTAATTGACTGAGTCTAGAATTCATGGAAATGTGAGAACTAGCACTTCAGTAACATATACTCTTCCAGTTTTTTAAGAAGGTCTATATGATTGTCTTGTGATAACACTTCACAAATCCCCCAATATCAGGATTTAGATTTTTCGACTACAAAAATTTGACTGTGAACTTTGCCGTTTGTAAACAATAATGTACTCATCTATGAAACTATGGTTTGGTCAACTCGAATGGTTAGATTCAAGTAATTTAAACAACTTCTGCACGCTTCCTTATGCTACTCATATACTAACTGATGTGCATCAATTCCAACACTGTTAGTCGAACGTATGTTTAGGAGAGTAAAGTGATGTTGTGGAATCAAAAGATCAAAATTTAGTCAGCTTAAAAATCGGTCAATATAATATTCTGAACATGTATCCACCTAATAATTTATTAATCACCTGATGTTAAATACTATTCAGTCAATTTATGCAAATCCGATTGTACATAAATCACATAAAAAGTAATGTGTTTATATTACCATTTTGATTTATTTCGGAGGCTTTTAAATCCATATCAGTAGTCTTTATATTTTCACTATACTTCGTTTGATTCGGGCTCTAATACCAAACACAATGGTGTTAAGCTTATCTGCAAACACAACAAATGATAGACATCACCAACTTTATATTTACGTACATCATTTTAAAACAGTTTATGCGACTGCCAGCGATTCTGCTCAGTTGATCGGACCGAAGTTCAGCTAAACAGGACTTTACAATAAATTTAAACGAATTAATCATTGCAGTTTTGTACTACGGAATTATCCACTTGTCTTGGATTAACCGAAATTCATTCTAACGAAATAATGTTGATTGTTAGTGATTTACTTAGTCTCGAGTGTTCTTCAATAGTATCAAATCTCAGAAGTAGTTGAAGCAGTCTAACCTGATAAATGTTGACATCAGTTCTATAATATAATTTCAGTAGATTATATCGTCACTAGTTGATACTGGAGAAAATCAATAAAAACTGTCGTTTATGTGTCAGTTTTTTCGCCCATCAAGTGGTGGATTTTTGTACGTGAAAAGTTATGAGAAACGTTTTTGTAAGATTTTTCATGTTTGATTGAAAGGTAAAACGTTTTGGGTGTACATTCTCACAATCTTTTGTAAACAGGGTGAAAGAAAAAGACAACTGTTGCATGTAGTGACTTTATCAACACTCTTTAATCCCGTTTGATGGAGCTTACACGAATGTTTTGTAGTTCTGATTCCCTACAAGCATTAACCGGTTTATATTCATATTCAACCCACTGTTAATCACTAAAACAACGATAATTCCTGCTTATTTTATCACCGTTCTTGGTATCTATGTGTTTGCACATCATGATTATTTATTTATTTATTTATTTAAACACATATATATTGGTACAAAAGGGCACCAGGTACATATGCGCCACACAAAATAATGAAAGTAGGTAGATAAAGGATGAAAAGATAAGGCGGGCTGAAATGTACAACCAGAAGATTCTTTCAGTTAGGAAAGTTAGAACCATTCTTTATGTAGAAAGTAAAAGAAGGTTGCAGCAGGATCGCCACTGGCTTCTATTCTGAGCCATATCTGATAACGTCTCTAGCCACTGTGTTGCACTATCTCTCGGACCCCAACCAGGGAGTCGTGAAGGACCAACGGAAGCTAGCCCTTTGCAGCTCTCTTTCATGCCACGACACCATGTCATACACTGACCTCCTCTCCGCTTTCTCCAACCAGTCCCAGGGTCGGCAAATAATGCACGACGCGGAAGTCTCTGGGACGACATTCGTAAAACATGTCCGAGCCACCGAAGTCGGTGTTTCAAGATGGTGACACCAATTGAATTATCGTCTCTGCGCCCGAACACACGATGCCGAACCTCTGCATTACTAACATGGTGTTGCCACTGGATGTCAGCAATCCTTCGGAGACAACGATGATCGAACACAGAGAGACGTCTAACATCCTCAACTCGGAGAGGCCAGGTTTCACAAGCATAGAGCAAAACTGCTCTCACCGACGCGTTGTAGATCCGACCTTTTACAGCCAGACTAACATCACGAAGGCGCCAAAGATAGCCCAGATTGGCATAAGCCGCTCTGGCTTTCATTAAACGTGCATCAATCTCATCACTCACGCCACCACCAGCACTTATATAGCTACCTAGATACACGAACTTCTCAACTACTTCGATCTCCTCACCATCCAGGGTGAGTACAGGATTAGAATCCTGCCAGTCTTGTAGAAGTACTTTGCACTTGGAGGGTGCAAAGCACATGCCGTACCTGCGGACACTGATTGCCAACTGATTAAGTGCTGATTGCATGCCTTGGGCATTATCGCACAGTAAGACAATATCATCCGCATACTCGAGGTCGAGAAGTCGTTCTCCAGGCAACATATCCACACCGCCATTACTTACATCCATCAGAGCTGTTTCTAGGATGTCGTCGATAGCAAAGTTGAAGAGGAATGGTGAGATCGGGCAACCCTGCCTAACCCCACTGCTCGAATGGAACAAGGGAGAAAGGTGGTTGTATGCCCTCACTCTGCCTGAGGTGTTCGTATACAGGGCCTTTAAGATGTTAATGAACTTCTCAGGCACACCCTTCTTCAATAGACAATCCCAGAGAACAGTCCTGTCCAACGAATCGAAGGCCGCCCTGATATCAAGAAACACTACGATTGTTGGCCTGCGATAAGTATGACGGTGTTCTAACATTTGGCGGAGGGTGAAGATGTGATCAATGCATCCTCGACCAGAACGAAAACCAGCCTGCTCCTCGCGAGTCAATCGTTCTCGGGTTTTAAACAACCTACGAAGAATGATAGAAGCCAATAGTTTGGACGCGATCGAAAGTAGACTTATCCCCCGGTAGTTATTGCAGGAACAACGTGAACCCTTTTTAAAGATAGGGACGACTATTGACTCATTCCAAGATGTTGGAACACTTTCTTGCTCCCAAACCTTTCCAAACAACGCAGTCAGTTCCTTAGCCAGAAAGTCACCACCATCTTTAAAAAGAGCCGGAGGTAAGTCATCTGGGCCAGGTGATTTATAACGTTTCAAGAGTTGGAGTTCCTTGTGGACTTCCGCCTCGTTTGGTGGATCAGTCGTCACCGGCCATGGGGAGCAGGACAAGCTGGTTGATGTTGCCGGAGCAGCAGGCCAGTTGAACTGCCCTTCGAAAAATTCCGCCCATCGTCCAAGACGTCGACAGATGTTAGTGATTGGCATCCCGTCATCCTCGTAGATTGTTTCACTCACACCAGACTTCTTGCTGCCAGTGGCTCGGATGAGTTGGAAGAGCTTCCGGCAGTTACCAGATGCAGCTGCTGCTTCCATCTCATTAGCACGCTCCGACCACCAGGCTTCCCGGTCCTTACACAAGCTTTGCCCGATTTCATTACATAACAGCCTTCGTTTGTGGTCAAACTCACGGTCACCCGGAGTAGACCGACGGGCTTCCATCAGTTGTAAGGAGCCAGAAGAAACCCAGTGCTTGTAAGCGGGACGTTTCGCGAAGCCGCAAGCGGCTTTACTCGCCATTTTCATGGCGTCGTGAAGATGCAACCAATGCTCGTCTATACTTTTCGGTGGGGTGGTAGCTAGCCTAGAGGCTAGCTCAGCTCGATACTTACTTGCAACAGAAGTTGCAGCCAGTTTACTAATATCAATCCGTTGGTGGTGGTCAATCCTTCGGCCACTGAAAAGTAAGGTGAGATTGGCGCAGACCAGGGCATGATCAGACTCCAGATAGGTACTCCAAAAGGAGCGGCAGTCTTGTACACAACCACGCCAGCGGTAGCTGATCGCGATGTGATCAATCTGAGTCCAGGCTTGGGATGCAGAGGGAGGACGCCAGGTGGCACACCGGCGATGACTGTGCCGGAAGTTAGTGCTGGCCAGAAACAGGTTGTGGTCTGTGCACAGTTGCAGCAAACGGTCCCCGTTATCTGTCCGGCGACCAACAAGTCCCCATCGGCCACCTAGACGACTCTCTTCTGTGCCTAGACGCCCGACCTGTGCATTCAAGTCTCCGGCTAGTACTACAATATCTGTCGAACGCGCTTTCTGGAGAAGAACTGTTAACTGATGGTAAAACTCATCCTTGATTGCATCCGGGCTGCAATCTGTCGGGGCATAGGCGGAGATGACGAAAAGACACCGTTTCTCACGCCGATTTCTTCTTAATTGATGGAACTTTCTAATCTAACAGCACATAACCGACTGTTAATGGGGATCCAATCGATTAGTGCTGCCTCAGCTCTAGCGCTTAGTGCGACACCAACGCCAGCAAGACCAGACGAAGATGCCACAGGGTCCCCGGATAAGCGCACGTGGAACAAGCTTTTCGAGGCGACAGATGGAGAGCGGATTTGTAGTACTTCACTAGAGTCTTGAATACGGGTCTCGGATAGACAACAAACGTCAACATTAAGACCTTCCAAAGACATAGCCAGCCCTATCTGTTGTCTGATCTGCATTAGTGTGCGAACGTTGAAGGAAGCCAGCTTGAACGGCGTACGTGGTTTCAGAAAGACTGCCTCAGTATTCATAATCGGTGGAAGCATTCACTTTCAACCAGACAGTGACTGGAGATCGTTTAGATAGGACAGATTAAGCTTCGCTACTCAATTTGTGAAGAGCCTGGATAGTTTGTGGCTCTCCTGAAAACCAATGTAAAATTACCCTCCTACAGGGCATATTTATAGTTATGAATAATCCTCAAGTGCTCTGATACAGCCAATAATAAAAAGAGTCCTCTCTCCCCCTCAAAATGCTCTCATACGGCGTTTGTTCATATCTCCTGCTAGGTAAGTTTCACTCACTTCCTTCATAATGTAGGGCTGTTCACGGAAATGAGAGGGCAAAAGGCGAACGTCTGATTCTCTAACCTAGTTGGTGAATACAGAGAGAATTGGGAACTTTCGATTCCAAACCAGTGTGCCTCAGGATCCTAAGAGAATAAACAGCGTATTTTAGTCGTCAACTACCATGGGACGGATTCCAACGTTTTTCGACTGCTTTATAGATTAAACTTCTAGGTAAAATGGCTCATGGAGTAACCCCTTAAAAAAGCCATTTACTTTGATTTGGGCCCTCGTCTAGTATGCTAGCCTTCACACTAAGACACATCTCTTTTTATTATGCTTAAATTTCTTATTTAAACAATAATATTTATATAGCATCTGTTTTTCTAGGTTTCAGATGTTACAAAACATACTTTGGAAGATAGAATGGAGTCATTTTTCTTAGCAGAAACAACAAAATATTTATACCTATTATTTGATGAAAACAACTTCATACATCAGTTACCAGGTGAAAAAACGTCATTAGAAGGTTCTCGTTTACCGTCAGGACTTCAATGTTTTCCAGAATCAGGTGGTTACATTTTCAATACAGAAGCTCATCCCATTGATCCTGGTGCTTTGAATTGTTGCTTTGCTCCTCAATTAGATGAAGTTGAACAAGCATCCAAAGTTGAAACATTGTTCTCTGATTCTAATCATTTAAAAATGCCAAATAATCGTGAATTTGACAGCGATACTAATACATCTGATCAAATTACAGAAATTGATTTACTTTCTACCGTTGATTCAGTTTTCAGTGAACATGTTCAATCTCAACTTGGTTATTCATCAAGTGATGCTTTCACTTGGATAATAAATCAGTCATCATCTAATTGTTTTAATAATGTATATTTTGATTCTAATTTAATTGTTTCCTGGATAGAACTTCGCGAAATTATTAAATCCTCAGTTTTAGAGAATGAAAAAGAAAATGATAAATTAAATAAATTCAGTTTTTTGGATTCAACCAAACCTCCACTACTCACTTGCCCATATCCATCATTTCAAAACCGATTTGGTTTATCCGGATTATTAACATCAACATAATTCCGTTTTTTACTTTTTTTTCTAGGTTCTCAAGTTTGATGGTTTTCCTGTAGATATTTTCTGTATAGTCAGCTTTCTCTATGGTATACTTTATTTAAAAAATTCCTACCATTTCGTAATTTCTGTGATATATATTCGGAAAAATATAATATATACATCGCTGATATTCAGAACATTTGCACAAATTCTTTATGGATTATAACCAATTAATATTATATCAGTAAATCCTGTCATTTTCAAGTAGCATTATTCGTTTTCTGCCATCTTATCAGCCCTACCGTCCAAGTTGCTCATTCCCTTAGTTTGACCTGCAGATATATCCTCTTTTACAGCTTAATGTGTGATGATAACTTCCTCTATGAAACATTTCATAAAATGCTGCTCTACTTTAGTATAGAATGACAGAAAATTGCCTGAATGGAACGTAGCGAACCACATATATCGTCAAATCAGATATCCTCCCATCATTTAGCCAGTAAGATAATAAATAATAAACATGATTTCCTTTTTCGACCACTCAATAGCCGAATAATCATTTTATGGATCATTTATGAGGTAGGCTAAGCTCTCAATGTACTAAAGGTTCACTTGCAAACTAACCGGTACTTTTACGCCTTGTTACTGTCATAGTTCCATTATTAAGTTGGTTTTTCTTGAATTGACCTCCAGGTATCATCTTAATTTTCCTACTTTTGCAAATTCTCACAAATTGTACCTACCTAAAAAGACATCAACCTTAGTAGTGTTTTATAATTTTAATAATTTCTGCCAATACTTATAGATAAAAATCTTTACGGTGCACAAAGAATCATGTTTCTGTTCGTGTATACGATTCAGCGATCAATGAAAACCTATTTTCGGTTCGCTTCCAAAACTACGATTATTAAACCTATAACTGCATTCATATTGTAGCTAGTAAGTGACCACTATCCGTGTGATTCATCGCCTACTTAGAAAGAAAATGACTCAATGTTACTAAGAGACGGTTTATTCGATGTGATATACGCATAGTTACGCAGTTATTGTGTTATAATTCAGTATTAAGCCAAAATAGATTTACAACATACGTTATTAAATGGATAGTTAAAGAATCAGAATGTTGAAAAGGAAGTCAGTGTCCAACATATATTTAACAAGATACTTTTTTTTATTTAAACACATAAATATTGATACAAAAAAGCACCAGATAAATATGCGCCTCACAAATCTCATTTGATTTGTGTGAGAGCTGTGATACTGCCCAGGTGCCCAAAATGAAGCAGGTGGTTTTCTTAGGGGGCCACAACCGGAACCTTTGACCTAAAGGAGCCCCCGAATGCCCTGGTACGGCCGAGAGTGGAGAGAGTCTACTCTCCCTCTCGAAATGCTCTCACATGGCCAGCGAATATATAGCCTCTGCCAGGGAAGTCCTACTCACTGCCTTCTCGTGGCGGGGGTGTTGTTTACGAAAGTGAGAGGACGAAAAGCGAATGTCCGGCGCTATAACCGGATTGGTGGACACGGAGGGTCCATTTAGGGGAGTTGGAAAACCCTGATTCCAAACCAATGGTGCACATGGGCTCCAGTATCCTGATGGAACGAATGGCGGAAGAACCTGTCATTGGTCAACGGCTACCATGGGACTGCATCTCCTCACGATGCTCCACTGCCTTGTGGATCAGACCTTTAGGTCAAAGGTTCGGGGTGTGGTCCCCTAAGAAAACCACCTGCTTCGGTTTGGGCACCCGGGCAGTATCACAGCCCACACACAAATGAATGAAATGATGAACTCTATTGACGATAATATCCCTGCTCATACTAAAAGCAAGACAATTTACATTATTATTATTATTATTTACCATATCGCTAACTCACCCCCTTTTATCCCCAATTTGTGTAACCTTACTTTTCAACTTATGCAGCAGCTCGCCCATGGTGGAAAATCTGTCCTATCTAAACGATCTCCAGTCACTGTCTGGTTGAAAGTGAATGCTTCCACCGATTATGAATACTGAGGCAGTCTTTCTGAAACCACGTACGCCGTTCAAGCTGGCTTCCTTCAACGTTCGCACACTAATGCAGATCAGACAACAGATAGGGCTGGCTATGTCTTTGGAAGGTCTTAATGTTGACGTTTGTTGTCTATCCGAGACCCGTATTCAAGACTCTAGTGAAGTACTACAAATCCGCTCTCCATCTGTCGCCTCGAAAAGCTTGTTCCACGTGCGCTTATCCGGGGACCCTGTGGCATCTTCGTCTGGTCTTGCTGGCGTTGGTGTCGCACTAAGCGCTAGAGCTGAGGCAGCACTAATCGATTGGATCCCCATTAACAGTCGGTTATGTGCTGTTAGATTAGAAAGTTCCATCAATTAAGAAGAAATCGGCGTGAGAAACGGTGTCTTTTCGTCATCTCCGCCTATGCCCCGACAGATTGCAGCCCGGATGCAATCAAGGATGAGTTTTACCATCAGTTAACAGTTCTTCTCCAGAAAGCGCGTTCGACAGATATTGTAGTACTAGCCGGAGACTTGAATGCACAGGTCGGGCGTCTAGGCACAGAAGAGAGTCGTCTAGGTGGCCGATGGGGACTTGTTGGTCGCCGGACAGATAACGGGGACCGTTTGCTGCAACTGTGCACAGACCACAACCTGTTTCTGGCCAGCACTAACTTCCGGCACAGTCATCGCCGGTGTGCCACCTGGCGTCCTCCCTCTGCATCCCAAGCCTGGACTCAGATTGATCACATCGCGATCAGCTACCGCTGGCGTGGTTGTGTACAAGACTTCCGCTCCTTTTGGAGTACCTATCTGGAGTCTCATCATGCCCTGGTCTGCGCCAATCTCACCTTACTTTTCAGTGGCCGAAGGATTGACCACCACCAACGGATTGATATTAGTAAACTGGCTGCAACTTCTGTTGCAAGTAAGTATCGAGCGGAGCTAGCCTAGAGGCTAGCTACCACCCCACCGAAAAGTATAGATGAGCATTGGTTGCTTCTTCACGACGCCATGGAAATGGCGAGTAAAGCCGCTTGCGGCTTCGCGAAACGTCCCGCTTACAAGCACTGGATTTCTTCTGGCTCCTTGCAACTGATGGAAGCCCGTCGGTCTACTCCGGGTGACCGTGAGTTTGACCTCAAACGAAGGCTGTTACGTAATGAAATCGGGCAAAGCTTGCGCAAGGACCGGGAAGCCTGGTGGTCGGAGCGTGCTAATGAGATGGAAGCAGCAGCTGCATCTGGTAACTGCCGGAAGCTCTTCCAACTCATCCGAGCCACTGGCAGCAAGAAGTCTGGTGTGAGTGAAACAATCTACGAGGATGATGGGATGCCAATCACTAACATCTGTCGACGTCTTGGACGATGGGTGGAATTCTTCGAAGGGCAGTTCAACTGGCCTGCAGCTCCGGCAACATCAACCAGTTTGTCCTACCCCACATGGCCGGTGACGACTGATCCACCAAACGAGTCGGAAGTCCGCAAGGAACTCCAACTCTTGAAACGTTACAAATCACCGGGCCCAGATGATTTACCTCCGGCTCTTTTTAAAGATGGTGGTGACCTTCTGACTAAGGAATTGACTATGTTGTTTGGAAAGGTTTGGGAGCAAGAAAGTGTTCCAACATCATGGAATGAGTCGATAGTCGTCCCTATCTTTAAAAAGGGTTCACGTTGTTCCTGCAATAACTATCGGGGGATAAGTCTACTTTCGATTGCGTCCAAACTATTGGCTTCTGTCATTCTTCGTAGGTTGTTTAAAACCCGAGAACGATTGACTCGCGAGGAGCAGGCTGGTTTTCGTTCTGGTCGAGGATGCATTGATCACATCTTCACCCTCCGCCAAATGTTAGAACACCGTCATACTTATCGCAGGCCAACAATCGTAGTGTTTCTTGATATCAGGGCGGCCTTCGATTCGTTGGACAGGACTGTTCTCTGGGATTGTCTATTGAAGAAGGGTGTGCCTGAGAAGTTCATTAACATCTTAAAGGCCCTGTATACGAACACCTCAGGCAGAGTGAGGGCATACAACCACCTTTCTCCCTTGTTCCATTCGAGCAGTGGGGTTAGGCAGGGTTGCCCGATCTCACCATTCCTCTTCAACATTGCTATCGACGACATCCTGGAAACAGCTCTGATGAATGTAAGTAATGGCGGTGTGGATATGTTGCCTGGAGAACGACTTCTCGACCTCGAGTATGCGGATGATATTGTCTTACTGTGCGATAATGCTCAAGCCATGCAATCCGCACTTAATCAGTTGGCAATCAGTGTCCGCAGGTACGGCATGTGCTTTGCACCCTTCAAGTGCAAAATTACTCCTACAAGACTGGCAGGATTCTCATCCTGTACTCACCCTGGATGGTGAGCAGATTGAAGTAGTTGAGAAGTTCGTGTATCTAGGTAGCTATATAAGTGCTGGTGGTGGCGTGAGTGATGAGATTGATGCACGTATAATGAAAGCCAGAGCGGCTTATGCCAATTTGGGCCATCTTTGGCGCCTTCGTGATGTTAGTCTGGCTGTAAAAGGTCGGATCTACAACGCGTCGGTGAGAGCAGTTTTGCTCTATGCTTGTGAAACCTGGCCTCTCCGAGTTGAGGATGTTAGACGTCTCTCTGTGTTCGATCATCGTTGTCTCCGAAGGATTGCTGACATACAGTGGCAACACCATGTTAGAAATGCAGAGGTTCGGCATCGTATGTTCGGGCGCAGAGACGATAATTCAATTGGTGTCACCATCTTGAAACACCGACTTCGGTGGCTTGGACATGTTTTACGAATGTCGTCTCAGAGACTTCCACGTCGTGCATTATTTGCCGACCCTGGGACTGGTTGGAAAAAGCGGAGAGGAGGTCAGTGTATGACATGGTGTCGTGGCATGAAATATAGCTGCAAAGGGCTAGCTTCTGTTGGTCCTTCACGACTCCCTGGCTAGGGTCCGAGAGATGGTGCAACACAGTGGCTAGAGACGTTATCAGATATGGCTCAGAATTGAAGCCAGTAGCGATCCTGTTGCAACCTTCTTTTACTTTCTACATAAAGAATGGTTCTAACTTTCTTAACTGAAAGAGTCTTCTGGTTGTACATTTCAGTCCGCCTTATCTTTTCATCCCTTCTCTTCCTACTTTCATTATTTTGTGTGGCGCATATGTACCTGGTGCCCTTTTGTACCAATATATATGTGTTTAAATAAATAAAAATAAAAAATTGACCTAAAGGTCTGATCCACAAGGCAGTGGAGCATCGTGAGGAGATGCAGTCCCATGGTAGTCGGTGACCAACAATCGGTTCATACGCGGTTTGTTCCCTCAGGATGCTGGAGCCCATGTGCACCATTTGTTTGGAATCAGGATTTTTCAACTCCGCTAGGTGAACTTTCCGTGTCCACCAACCCGGTTAAAGCGCCGGATATTCGCTTTTCGTCCTCTCAATTTCGTAAACAACAGTAAAGCCACGAGAAGGCAGGGAGTAGGACTTCCGTGGCAGAGGCTATACATGCGTAGACATGTGAGAGCACTTCGAGAGGGAGAGGTGATTGATATTAGTAAACTGGCTGCAACTTCTGTTGCAAGTAAGTATCGAGCGGAGCTAGCCTAGAGGCTAGCTACCACCCCACCGAAAAGTATAGATGAGCATTGGTTGCTTCTTCACGACGCCATGGAAATGGCGAGTAAAGCCGCTTGCGGCTTCGCGAAACGTCCCGCTTACAAGCACTGGATTTCTTCTGGCTCCTTGCAACTGATGGAAGCCCGTCGGTCTACTCCGGGTGACCGTGAGTTTGACCTCAAACGAAGGCTGTTACGTAATGAAATCGGGCAAAGCTTGCGCAAGGACCGGGAAGCCTGGTGGTCGGAGCGTGCTAATGAGATGGAAGCAGCAGCTGCATCTGGTAACTGCCGGAAGCTCTTCCAACTCATCCGAGCCACTGGCAGCAAGAAGTCTGGTGTGAGTGAAACAATCTACGAGGATGATGGGATGCCAATCACTAACATCTGTCGACGTCTTGGACGATGGGTGGAATTCTTCGAAGGGCAGTTCAACTGGCCTGCAGCTCCGGCAACATCAACCAGTTTGTCCTACCCCACATGGCCGGTGACGACTGATCCACCAAACGAGTCGGAAGTCCGCAAGGAACTCCAACTCTTGAAACGTTACAAATCACCGGGCCCAGATGATTTACCTCCGGCTCTTTTTAAAGATGGTGGTGACCTTCTGACTAAGGAATTGACTATGTTGTTTGGAAAGGTTTGGGAGCAAGAAAGTGTTCCAACATCATGGAATGAGTCGATAGTCGTCCCTATCTTTAAAAAGGGTTCACGTTGTTCCTGCAATAACTATCGGGGGATAAGTCTACTTTCGATTGCGTCCAAACTATTGGCTTCTGTCATTCTTCGTAGGTTGTTTAAAACCCGAGAACGATTGACTCGCGAGGAGCAGGCTGGTTTTCGTTCTGGTCGAGGATGCATTGATCACATCTTCACCCTCCGCCAAATGTTAGAACACCGTCATACTTATCGCAGGCCAACAATCGTAGTGTTTCTTGATATCAGGGCGGCCTTCGATTCGTTGGACAGGACTGTTCTCTGGGATTGTCTATTGAAGAAGGGTGTGCCTGAGAAGTTCATTAACATCTTAAAGGCCCTGTATACGAACACCTCAGGCAGAGTGAGGGCATACAACCACCTTTCTCCCTTGTTCCATTCGAGCAGTGGGGTTAGGCAGGGTTGCCCGATCTCACCATTCCTCTTCAACATTGCTATCGACGACATCCTGGAAACAGCTCTGATGAATGTAAGTAATGGCGGTGTGGATATGTTGCCTGGAGAACGACTTCTCGACCTCGAGTATGCGGATGATATTGTCTTACTGTGCGATAATGCTCAAGCCATGCAATCCGCACTTAATCAGTTGGCAATCAGTGTCCGCAGGTACGGCATGTGCTTTGCACCCTTCAAGTGCAAAATTACTCCTACAAGACTGGCAGGATTCTCATCCTGTACTCACCCTGGATGGTGAGCAGATTGAAGTAGTTGAGAAGTTCGTGTATCTAGGTAGCTATATAAGTGCTGGTGGTGGCGTGAGTGATGAGATTGATGCACGTATAATGAAAGCCAGAGCGGCTTATGCCAATTTGGGCCATCTTTGGCGCCTTCGTGATGTTAGTCTGGCTGTAAAAGGTCGGATCTACAACGCGTCGGTGAGAGCAGTTTTGCTCTATGCTTGTGAAACCTGGCCTCTCCGAGTTGAGGATGTTAGACGTCTCTCTGTGTTCGATCATCGTTGTCTCCGAAGGATTGCTGACATACAGTGGCAACACCATGTTAGAAATGCAGAGGTTCGGCATCGTATGTTCGGGCGCAGAGACGATAATTCAATTGGTGTCACCATCTTGAAACACCGACTTCGGTGGCTTGGACATGTTTTACGAATGTCGTCTCAGAGACTTCCACGTCGTGCATTATTTGCCGACCCTGGGACTGGTTGGAAAAAGCGGAGAGGAGGTCAGTGTATGACATGGTGTCGTGGCATGAAATATAGCTGCAAAGGGCTAGCTTCTGTTGGTCCTTCACGACTCCCTGGCTAGGGTCCGAGAGATGGTGCAACACAGTGGCTAGAGACGTTATCAGATATGGCTCAGAATTGAAGCCAGTAGCGATCCTGTTGCAACCTTCTTTTACTTTCTACATAAAGAATGGTTCTAACTTTCTTAACTGAAAGAGTCTTCTGGTTGTACATTTCAGTCCGCCTTATCTTTTCATCCCTTCTCTTCCTACTTTCATTATTTTGTGTGGCGCATATGTACCTGGTGCCCTTTTGTACCAATATATATGTGTTTAAATAAATAAAAATAAAAAATTGACCTAAAGGTCTGATCCACAAGGCAGTGGAGCATCGTGAGGAGATGCAGTCCCATGGTAGTCGGTGACCAACAATCGGTTCATACGCGGTTTGTTCCCTCAGGATGCTGGAGCCCATGTGCACCATTTGTTTGGAATCAGGATTTTTCAACTCCGCTAGGTGAACTTTCCGTGTCCACCAACCCGGTTAAAGCGCCGGATATTCGCTTTTCGTCCTCTCAATTTCGTAAACAACAGTAAAGCCACGAGAAGGCAGGGAGTAGGACTTCCGTGGCAGAGGCTATACATGCGTAGACATGTGAGAGCACTTCGAGAGGGAGAGGTGACTCTCCCCACTCTCGGCCGTACCAGGACATTTGGGGGCTTTACAATTGATTGATCACTGGGTGGTGATCAATGTCATGCGTGTCAAGTGTTTCTTAGTGCTGATCGAATGCTACCGATCAAGTTGCAATGTGGCCACTAGTCTGGGTGACTCGACACTGCGTGCATTATGTTGAGATAAGATGGTGGTTGGAGATGGCCAACAGAAAACCTTGGACCCGGGTTTCGTGCTACATGGCACTCGTCAGCAAGGTGTACCTATAATCTTGAGGGAACTGGTGCTCCTTGACGGATTCAATCCCGTATCACTCAGCTTCACAGTCAGAGACGTTACCACTGAGCTATTCGGGCTGTATTTACACGATCCACTACGTAAACTACCTCGAATAGCACAACTGAACTGAAGACCTTATATACGTGCCGAGTGTATATTGTAATTAAATTTCATTGTTAATATTAGCATTTCAACCGTGGGAATGAGAAATCTAATATAAGACAAACATCATAACAAAGTGATAGATTTCTTATAAGTCATAGTAATTTAGCAATAGTGATTGAAACGTCGAAGTCAAATATAACTTGAATGAACTGGTATTAATCAATTTATTTTGTAGATGTAATTCATTTATTGACAAATGCAGATCAACTATCTAAATCAACATGTATCTTAACATATAATTTCGTTACAAATGAAGGCTAAGCGACAGTGAGTCTGAAAAAAACATAGGCAACTGTAATTCACTGTTGATAATTGTTCAACCAGATCAACATATAGATACTAATTCACTAATTAATTTATTGATAAGTTCTCAATCGAAATATAGATCTTTTCTTGATAAGTAGAACAGATTGTCAACATACGAAAAAATCAGTCCCTTACCACTTCGAATCTATGACAGAATAGTAAATTTCTTACTAATTTACTTCTGATAAACATTCCCAACGACAACGGATAACATTAAAACACCAAAGATGTTTAACCATCGGTGTTGAAATAGGATTTCACGTATTCAGTGGAACTCCCGAATGAAATAAGCATGAAGTGAGTATTACAAATCAATGTAATGATCATGAATCAGTCACACTACTTGCTTAAGATATGCTTTGTTTATATCCAGTAACCAGCGGGCATTACCGTTAAACGGATAGACTGTAGTTGTCAGTACATGCTTGTAATAACATAAAAATTCACAAAATCACGTTACTACATTGATCAAGTTGGAATGGAGTTCAAAATATCAAAAAAAGTTCGAAATAAACATTCTATTAAATAACAAATGTGAAAATACAGAATATACAAGTTTTTGTGAAACCTAAGCAGTATACAGTAGTTCTCATCTCCATTTTTATTTGGTAAGAATTATCGACGATAACGAAATCGTTTAAAATGAAACCATAACTGAAAGATATTATTTTGAAATTGACATCGAAATCCATGCTTATATGAATATTCCCATTCACGATTAACAATTTTAAATGCAATATCTTCATATGGTGGTCCAGCGATAAAACGTAGAATAGCAAAATCTTTTTCTGGTTCACCACATGCTGTCAATGTATAAGTTGGTGTCTTAGTTTTGTCAATTAAATCTGGATAAAAAACATTGAATTTATAGCCTTGAACAATTTTGGGCGGTGGATTATCTAAATCATAATGTGTTTGATTATATTTGTTCCATACAAAACCAGTATGAACACGATTAAAGAAACGTGGTTTTCTTGGTCTATATTTATCGGACCAAAGAAAAGATTGATCTTCAACTGGAATCTAGAAGACAAAATGAGAATGAAACAGTAGATAAATTTATAATACGTGTCATGGGTAAAACAAATACATGTTATGATTTAGATCATAAGCTGATTTCAGCTAAATAATCACTACAATTATATTTTCTCAGTACAATATTCTTTTGTGGTAGATGCTGAGTACTCGAGGCGTTACCAGCCAAAGAATCCAGGACCTTGTGTCAAAGCGTTACCCTTTAACTAATGAGTTTCCAACCAATGATTCACACTTCTAAATGGTTAATTTGTAATATAACTCAACCATTACCATCTACGGTGACTGACACATGAACTTCAATAATAATAGCTTTTTACTAGGACTTCAGAAATTCTCCAAGTTAGTCATTGATAAGTGCATTATTATACGATATAAAATAATTTGTATGATCATAAACAAAAGCCATTCACAGTAACGGATTCCTAGTGTATTTATTAAGATAAAAGTGGATCATTCCCTAGAATTATAATCATCGAATACAAGTACCTAGTTAATTACAATCAACTTGAATATATATCACACATTAATCAGGTGATTATTTTGTGGAAAAGTCTCTACTTGATTAATTTTAATTGTCTTAGGAACTGTGGTAAATGATCTTAGGTGAGATCAGTCAATAAAACAACTACATACGCCTTTTCTTGTATTAAAACAATTATGACTTATATATTATGTCATCCAGTTATACATATCACAGTAATTTATACTAATAACCTTTTCTGCAATAGTGGTGGTATTTAGTCATTCAGATGCTGAAGTAATGAGATATCGACTAAATGACTTGAAGAATCAATCCTACTTCGACTGAAGAAGTGAAGTATCCTTCATATAAATGTAGCTACTTAAGACTTAGTAAATGAAACTACACTTAGTTACAAAACGGCATTAGCCCCACCTCCTACATAACAGCTGTTCATCTCCCATTACGATTAACTGATCCTATTACATACGACAAAAATATTCATACATACGTCCAAAGAATGTAGTGTTTTTTATTTATTTATTTATTTAAACACATAAATATTGGTACAACGAAGCACCAGATAAATATGCGCCTCACAAATCTCATTCGATTTGTGTGAGGGCTGTGATACTGCTCAGGTGCCCAGACTGAAGCAGGTGGTTTTCTTAGGGGGCCACACCCCGAACCTTTGACCTAAAGGTCTGATCCACAAGGCAGTGGAGCATCGTGATGAGATGCAGTTCCATGGTAGTCGGTGACCAACAATCGGTTCATACGCGGTTTGTTCCCTCAGGATACTGGAGCCCATGTGCACCATTTGTTTGGAATCAGGATTTTTCAACTCCGCTAGGTGAACATTCCGTGTCCACCAACCCGGTTAAAGCGCCGGACATTCGCTTTTCGTCCTCTCAATTTCGTGAACAACACCCCCGCCACGAGAAGGCAGTGAGTAGGACTTCCCTGGCAGAGGCTATATATTCGCTGGCCATATGAGAGCGTTTGGAGAGGGAGGTCGGACTCTCCCCACTCTCGGCCGTACCAGGGCATTTGGGGGCCAAAGAATGTAGTGTTTTACTTTTAAATGATCATTCTGTTACGTCTGGCCGATTGTGAACGCTATATTCGCTTCCCTAAGCTAGTTCCGTACCCCTGAGTTAGAACTACTCCGCGACTTGAAGACGAGAGAAAAGGCACAAAGTGTGAGGGAAGCACTTTACTACAGGGTTCATTCATGTGCAGAAAATATAGGGATTTTATAGTAACTTAAGAGTCCTTGAGTTTTTACTGAAAGTTTTAGAATACTGCTAAACACAGTAGCAGTGTATAAATCAGCCAATCAGGATCTCCACATGTGACTTTTCCATTTTCATTATTTTAGTAACATAACTTCACATAATTTCTAATTAGTCGCTGGTTGAAATGCTCCTTGATGACCCCTGAGCTTGTCATGTCGCTTGCGAGAAAAATGCAGGGTCATCCCACATTCAAAACATGATTTCAGTCACAGTTACATTGAATCAACAGGCTTCAAACTTTTACAAATTTGTTGTTAATTTTACAAATATTATCTTTAAAATAAAATTAAAATGATCATACCTCGGGGTTTCATTTTAAGTCTGTTTTGATTAAGATTAAACAACTGTTTAGTTTACTCTATTCTCCCAAGTCCCCAATTAAAACTACTTTTAAGCTAAATAGGAATAATATATTTGTAAAATCTCAGCGAATGAATTTGTAGTAAATCCAACGTTTCGCCTGGCAATCTGGTTCAAGCTTTTTCAAAGAATTAATTTAATGTCTTACATCAACTCGGCGCTCAAATACTGTGAAACTATTCGCTCTAATTTAGACGAGAGTTCTTATATATTACTTTTAAGCTAACCTCAGCGCTTTCTAAACTATTTAAATTAAAGATATTCTGTGATAGATGTTTCCTCATAAAAAAACTATAAAATGAAGTTGGATTTGATAGTGGATACTCATTGATATTATCCAATAATAGGTCAACTTTGGAATGTGTTACGTTCCTTGGGTTGAATAAAATAAATGCTGAAGGCGTTGATCAGAACGACAAGGAAAGTTCCGCAATTAGAGCACAACATAACTAAGAACATTGCCCTAGGCTACCAGTCTTCCCCATCATTTTAATACTGAGGAGAAACACGTCTATCAACTCGGTAACGGTCTGTCCCTCTCGTAAACAATAAAATATCTATCTGCCCGACGCCTTCCACTATTTTTATTATCCATTAGGCAATGTTGGTTAGTGAATGAAACAATCTTTTAACCAATAATTAACGACGGATTACCTAATACACTTACACATACACCTGTTCACATCATAATTTCTATGGATAATCATAAACTAGGTTCTGATTTTAAATAAATCACGAAATCATTGTTATACATTCATTACCCTTTTAAAATATCTTCACGAGACAACAAGATAATTTAGTTTGTATTGGTTAGAATTATCTCATTTTTGATATTTTGAATGAACCTTGATTAGTCTTAGTTGTCGTGCGTGCATCCAGTGCGGATTCCTTCGAGATAGCCCTTATGGCACAAGTTTATGTATAGAACAGATGGAATATAACAGCTAGCAGCGGAATCCAGGACGCAGCTACATCCACCTGACGAATCCCAAACAGGACGAGACGCGTGTCCTGGATACCACTGCTGGCTTTATTCTGTACAAAGATATAGCCATGCTTACCATAACTGAGAATTGTGCATCTTCACCATCTTCCATGCCTTCTCTAGCTCGCCTTATAAGCTCTTCTTCTTCAGTAGCTTGCATCGTTCCTGTACGTAAAACTTCTTGACGCTATTATTTAAAAAAATAAAAAACAAAGGATTGTGTTTCTTGAAAAACTAAACGTAAAACATGATTACATATTGTGAATTTATTTCGTTAAATTGTTGTGAAACAAATAGTTCAGTTTCGAGCACCTGGTCACTAACTATCATGTCTCAGTTTCAAACCTCACCTCTAAAACTTTGGATAGTCATTTGGTATTACCACTTGCCATATAAAACTGTAGTTTAAAGTCAATTACATAAAAGCTTGTACTTAAAAGATAAGTTGTAATATTTTTGTAAAATGCAAAATTATCAATATAGGGGTTGTGGAGATTGTTGAGTTTTTATTAAAATCATGAATCGATCAATGTCAGACCACTATTGAAAACCTAGAAGCACTAGACGGCCGTTTCGTCCTAGTATGGGACTCCTCAGCAGTGCATATCCACGGAACGGGCGTCTTATGCTTCCGGGTTTTCAATGGTGGTCTAACATTGTTCGGTTCATGATCTCAATAAAAAGCCAAGATTGAGTAAAATAATATGGACAAGTAATATTAATAAGTGTAAATACTGTAAACAGTTTAACGAATTACAATATTTTAATTTAGAATGCAAAGTATGAGATTACCACTTATCACTGATAATCAAAAACAGTGCGTACATAAGTGTACAGTTTTTTAAGCAGAATTTACTACTTATGTGAAAACATCTATAGCTGTATTAGCTATTGATTTGAGAAATAAAGTATATTTAGAAGAATAAAATAGCAATTGATTGATCACTGAATAATGATCAGTATCGTACTTCTCTAGTCTTTTAACGCTTACTGAATCTTATCAACCAACTTGCAGTGTGACCACTACTCAAAGTGACCCGAAATCATATACACTTTGTTGAGATGTTAGATGGTTGGAAGTAGTCAGTAGAAGACCCTGGAAATAGGTTTTGTATCAGTTTGTATTCATCAGAAAGACATTCCTGCAATCTTGAGGCCACAGTGTAACTTGATAGATAGATTTCAAATAGCATGACAAGACAAACATGAAATTGGTCACTTTATTACTCAGTGATCAATCAATGTAGATATTAAAGATTTCCATTGTGAAAATTAGAACAACACATGTAAGCGAACAATTGTTTCCAATTAGATCGTCATCAGGCTTTACTCTAATATACATGAATATTTATACGAAAATGTTAGACCAATCAAGGCTATTTGAGTCAATAATCACAATGAAATAGAATACGTTACCAAACATAATAAGTCTTCCCACTATCAACTTGTACTTTTACCTATTATGCTCGGTGAAATATTCTATTTCATTGTGATTATCGACTCAAATAGCTTTGATTGGTCTAACATTTTCGTATAAATATTCATGTATATTAGAGTAAAGCCTGATGACGATCTAATTGAAAACAATTGTTCGCTTACATGTGTTGTTCCAATGTAGATATCTCATTCTTACAGTTCAATGGTAACGTCTCGGATTGTGAGGGCGAGTGACGCGGGTTCAAACCCCACAGGAAGCATTGCTTCCATAGAAATTAACTGCTGATGAATCCCAGCTAGCACCAAACCTAAGTCAAGGGTCTCCTGGTGACTGCCTTAAAACACTTAGCATCCCAGTCAGAAGTAAAACATACTCCAATAACACCGATACTAAACTCTTAGCACATTGGTACACCAAAATCTGTTAATCACAGCTAATGAAGAACAAAATCCGTTTCAGACAAACCTGTGTATTAATGAGGAGACCGTATGAGAATTATATAACTTAGTCAGCTGGGTGCGGGAAGTATAACAGTGACATGATATGTGAGATATTAAAATGGCATCGGTACTTGACTGTCTGTTTTTAGCTGGTTCATTTTATTAAGGCTAATCGGTCTAGATCAATACTTCGTTCTGTTTAGGGCTCGTCAGTTGAATGTACTGAATCCTAAACAATGAGACTCGAACCTACTACCTTTCAATTTAAACATCAGTGTATTACCATTCACTGAACTCAAATATAACCACATTTACTAATGTATAAAGTGATCATGTTTTAAATTTACAAGTTGCTAAAATATCTAGTTTTTTTCAACAACAAAAAGTAAAAGATGAACAAATTAAATAAATAGTCTTTAACATTATTTGACTAACCTGATATTCAATTTTTGCTTGATCATCTTCTGGATTATAAATAACGGCGTCCAATTCTAAATCATCTGGATTTATACGTGGTGGTGAATAAAGCGATGGATTGTACGGTTCTTCTTCAATCAAAGCCGCCGCTTGTAGTTCAGCTGCACGAACAGCTTTGATAGCTTCAGCGCTGTGTAAATCTTCAATAGCATTATTACTAACTGGATTACCCTGAAGCGAGAATATGAGAGAGGGAGAAATTTGTTTTAATGGACGACATAGTATAAGTGTGTACTTTTCTCATTATAAGGTGGTTTGTGAAGATTATTGAATATATTATTGAGATCACGAACTAACCTAAGTTAGACAACTAATAGAAACTAGGAAGCGCTGGAAACGTGTTTCGTCCATGTATGGGACTCTTCAATAGTGTTTATTCACGACCCCACCACAAACCGAACCCAGGACCTTCAAGTTTCATGACGAGCAGTTAACCTTTATAACACCGATCCTGCATTCGACAGTTTACACATATAACTCCTACTAATTCGAGATATCGTGCAACTGTTTTCAAATACTACCGGTAGATAATTGCCTCACTCAACATGGTTGAACGCTAGTGATCATAAATTCTCATTCTTCACTTTTGTATTATAGGATGTGTTGCTTTAACTACTTAGAAATTCACTTAAATTTACTATCTGTAACCAAGAATCATCAAAAAACATGAATGTCAGTTGAAAAATTAACGGATTACATAATAATTAAACATTGATGAAAAGGATGAATCATTTTAATTGTAATTCATATTAAAAGGCAAAGTTACACTTGAATTTGACCAATTCATCGATAAGGCATTGGTTGATACATGAACTATCAGAAAAATGATTATTGTGTGATAACACTAATAGTTCTTTCTAGTTAAATTATAACCAGATATGGTTAGAGGTTTCTTTTCGACCTGAAATAATAATAGTCGCTCCCGATCATACTCATTTATAAATGTTAAAGATCAGACTTATTGCCCATATGGACATTTTTCTTCATTGCCGAATAGATGTATGATGTATAAATTCGATAGTAATCGTCTCTTGTTTCACAAAAAGACAGAAGAGAAGGGAAGGATATGAGTCATCATACTGGTGATTCCTGAGTTTCTCATTAATTAGATGCGTGATAGATTATGATAAAATTAGTTAAATAAAAATAAAATTAGTTAATTAAGATAAAATTAGATAATTAGATAAAATTAGTTAATTAAGACGAATCAAAAACAAAGGAACTTATAGCTATAAGTGGATGTTTGGAAAAATTTAAGATCTAAACGTTTTGTAACACCGTTTTGTCCGTTAATTAATTACGATTGTGTTGTTTGACATTCCTTTCTACCTATTGATCTACTTCCAAGGATCAAGTAAATCCATATCAACCAAACTCTGTGTTCCCACTACCCATCGTCGAATTCATGGTTTCAGTGTCAAACTCAAGTCAGTTAAGCAGTTCTCTCCCCAGAAATAACACTTTTAATATTTCTACTCTTTGCTTCTATCAAATTTAAGTGAGTAAATGAACATTAAATTATTACAAACCGAGTTCTCTTACGTCTCTGTTCAATTCAATCGGAGGTAAGGGAGGTGGGATGAAATTTTCAGGATCATTTTCCTCTTCAGTAGGCTGAGCAGGTTGTTCAATGTCCGATTCGACACGATCATTTGACTGTTTAACAGCAGCACTAGGAAATAATGGTTCTGAGACAATACCTTGAGCTTGACGTAAACATTCTAATTTACGTTTAAGATTGTTTTGATGCATATCACGTAGACGAGTACGGGCCATTTGAGCACGAACAAATTGAGCTAATGTTTCCCAATAAGTCACATCTACACCTTCACCACCACGCAGCTTTGGAGCAATCTATAAGAACAAACAAAAGAACATAATGAGAAAAACGAGGAAGTTTTAATTTATGTTTTGGTAAATTTAGTAACAACAATTATATGTTTGTATAATGAAAGTAATGGAATAACAAAAATCACTGAACTCTAAATTGTTAACGAATACGAAATTACCAATTCAGAAACTGTAACGCTGAGTGACGTAAGTCTGACTTTCACTGTGAACATTAGTCGTCTTAATATTGCAGGTATATCCTACTGACCGCTTTCATTACTTACTTACGCCTGTTACTCCTCGTGAAAGAGAATGGGCCGACCACCAGCATTCTCCATCCAACTCTGTCCCGAGCAATCCATTCCAGTTGTGTCCAGTTCCTATTTATCCTTTTGATGTCTGCTTCCAATTTCTGACATAGTGTGTCCTTAGACCTCCCTCTTTTTTGTTTCCATTCAGGATTCCAGGTAAGCACTTGCCTCGTGATGCAGTTTGGTGATTTCCGTAATGTATGTCCCATCCACTTCCATCGTATCTACCTAATTTCCTCCTCAGCTGGAACCTGGTTTGTTCTCTCCCACAATAGGCTGTTGCTGATTGTTTCCGGTCAACGGACATTCAGTATCTTGCATAAACAACTGTTTATAAATACTTGTACCTTTTTGATAATGGTTGTGGTAGTTCTCCACGTGTCAGCTCCGTACAGCAGAACTGACTACCTTGACGTTCGTATTGAAGATTCTCACTTTGATGTTGGTTGACAGTTGTTTTGAGTTCCATATGTTCTTCAGTTGTAGGAATGCTGCCCTTGATTTGCCAATCCCCCCTTTACGTCTGAATCCAATCCTCCTTGTTCATCGATGATGTTGTCCAGGTACGTGAAAGATTCCACATCTTCTAGAACTGATAAGTTTCAACCAACATGAAATTTGTGTAAAGGGTTTTTGCCGATTGACTATTTCGAACCGTTTAACGTCAGGGAATTAATAAAAAAATTTCTAACAGGTCAACACTTTAGAATGTATGGATAGACAATTTGTATAAAGACCTATCTCTAACACTCTACTCTTTACTTTAATTACTGAGAACTAAACAACTTTCAATAATTCTTTGTCTTAAACAATTTATATGGATTGGTAATCAACAGAGGCAAACTATTGCTTTGTATTTTTAGGTAACCCTTTTTTTCAAGAAACAATCGTTTGTTCATTTTTAGAAGTTAATTATCTAGTGTCGATTTGTGCTATAAACCATATTCTTTACCTTTACAAACCAAATTTATCTTATCTTGTCTCTGTTATATGGATTTGAAGAATACCTGTAGATATAGTGTACAAAATGAAGCAAACTCGATTATTTTATAATGAGAATTAGAAGGACATGGAAAAAACATTAAAAGATAAAGTGGCTACACTTGTCAGATAATTAATTGATTACAATTCGAGAATACACTTTTAGAAAAAAAGGGGGTTATTAACATTAGTATGCTTTAATCTTAAACTTCCGTTGACGAGTGTAAATGATCTTGGACTATAAAAATCAGTGTCAAAAGTTTAGGCTATGCAATTTCTACAAACTAGATAACAACTTATTCAGGTGTGTTACTTTAATCCGTTCATAGTTTATTACATAATTCACCAACATTTGAGTAGTTAATCAATAAACTTCTTGTTTAAAATAATCGTAACAAATGAGTTGCTAGATGAATGTACACTATCCTAAATTCAGTTATATAAACTCATTACGATTTATAATATACTGAACAGGAAAATATAACATCCAGTTACGTGTTATATCAATTACTGACATCTGGATCGTTAGAAACATGATATCATTTCTTATGTGCAATATTGCCCCCAAATGCCCTGGTACGGCCGAAAGTGGGGAGAGTCCGACCTCCCTCTCCAAATGCTCTCACAGCCGCGCGTATATAGCCTCTGCCACGGAAGTCCTACTCACTGCCTTCTCGTGGCTTTACTATTGTTTATGAAATTGAGAGGACGAAAAGCGAATGTCCGGTGCTTTAACCGGGTTGGTGGACACAAAAAGTTCACCTAGGGGAGTTGGAAAACCATGATTCCAAACAAATGGTGCACATGGGCTCCAGTATCTTGAGGGAACAAATGGCGGATGAATCAACTGTTGGTCACCGGCTACCATGGGACTGCATCTCATCACGATGCTCCACTGCCTTATGGATCAGATCTTTCGGTCAAAGGCTTCGGGTGTGGCCCCCAAAGGAAACCACCTGCTTCGGTTTGGGCACCTGAGCAGTATCACAGCCCCCACACAAATCAAATAAGATATGTGTGGCGTATATATATCTGGTACCTCCTTGTGCCAATATTTATGTGTTCAAATAAATAAATAAATGTGCAATATTAGTCTTTAATTTTAATTTATAACAAAAGCAATTATAAACGCAGTAATCAACAACTGTCGAAACAATGAACATTGAGTGGTAATATTGAGGGTGTAACTGAGACTGTTTAAAATCATGACATTGGGTATATGTAACTACTAACTAACAATTTAATATTATTACAGACTCGACAGTAGACAGAATAATAATCATTATCAGCTTTATTAACCAGTAATTAACTTGGGTGTTGCGAAACTATCCACAAAGTAAAACACTTAATTTTATGTATACAGACAATATATAACTGCTTAAATAATCAAATCTTTGGTCTAAACATAAGAAATTTAATGGAATGTAACGGAAAATAAACCCAAATGACTGTCATAATGTTAACGATACCACCGTTTTATCAGAAAATGCTAGTATCAATTCATGTCCTAAGTACAAGTGGGTTATGTACTCAGCTTTCATAGAAAATTATACTAGATAGCTACCGAAATAGGTGTGACTGTATTTGGGATCGGATGTAAAATTTGTTTTTTTTTAAATTAGAGTGATTTGACTACTGAATTATTGGTACATAGATTAACTGAATACCAGTTTGCATACCACTATGCTGTAACATAGGTAGACTTAGTTCCTTCTTTGATAAGTCATGTAGACAGATATCTTTGAAGTAATAAAGAGGATTTTGAGTTATTTACTTTTTGCAAACACAAACGTCCTCAAAACTGTAGTAGATGCAAATACAATTCTATGAAAAAGTAACTTTTTGAACTCATTAGTACTCCGGTGGTAGTTGATAGCATTAACATTGTATTTGTGTTCGAAAGTAAATGAATGTCAGTAATTTTGAATTACAACGATGATTCTGTTAATTAGTAAAATTGACAAAGTAAGATTGCAGTAAGTCACGTTTTATATCAACATTTAGAATGTGCTCCCCAATTCAACATGACTCTGAAGCCAAAATTAATGGATCAATTAGAGGAAATCGGTATTCAATATGTATACGAAGTAAAAAAAGCAACGAAAGGGCCTCCCAACGCCCAACATTATCAGTTAGACTAATAAGAAAGGTTGCGTTGTTAGATGTAGTACAAGCCAATATAAAGCATATGCTTACATTCTTACTAATTTAAAAACAAATTTAAATAAACTCATTCATTAGATACTTGGATATAATGAGCAACTCTCTAAGTATAAGGGCTAATAATACTGCTCTTTTGTCCAAATCGAAGAAAGGAGAGTAAAGTTTTACTACGTTATCAACAGTCGTGCTTTACCGCATGAGCTAATTTTTAGTAATCTTAAATGCTCTAAGCTGAAGTTTCTTTTTAATGGCGAAAGCTTTTGCTGTTATTCTGAACAACAGTGTCAGAGCTTTTATCTGCAGTAAGCACTAATGATTTTGTCCAGAAAATGACAAAGAAAACTTAACAACTCAGAGAATTCAACATTACCGAAAATATCGTTTCAATCATCATTTTAACATGAACAAAATAAATAATTAGACTTCATCTAGGTAACATTTAAATTAATGAAAAACTTACTTGTTTCTCTAATGCACTTAATTGATTGTATGTTTTGCCTTTTAACGTTTCCGCAACACTTTGCATAACAGACTGACTAATAGTAGCCGAACTACGACCTCTGGTATCGGCACCGCATGCACCAGCTACTCCGCTATTTTCTTCTAATCGACGCAATTTATTTAATTCATCTTCAACAACAGTTGTAATATCACGCCAATATTCTGCATTACAACCTTTTTCTAATTCCATATACACTACCTATAGTTAATAAAAGTATTCCAAGAAAATAGTCATTAGAAAAAATGGATAGATTAGTGTTAAAACAACAGGGTTGTTTAGTTAGTGGTACATAGGATATTGTATGATCATCATTTATTGACATCTAAGATAACTGATCTCAATCCCCATATAACTGCCCACGAGTGTCTGTATTTATGAAATAAGACTAGGAGCAACAATGAGGAAATTTTACTCGTGGTTTCAACCATATCAAAAGTGAGATAGTAATTATAACTAAGGATAATGGATGGCGGTCGAGGAATATCGCAGTGGCTGGAGCTAGAAATGTAGACCATTGAGTGTCGAGACCCAGAAGTCTAAAGATAACACACTATCTTCAAATCAAATAATCTCCACAAATCTCTCATCCCAATGCCCAGGCAATCAGTCATAATTATCTTACAGGCTGGTACGAATATTCGTTAAAATAAGTTACCGTACCACATTATCATGATGAGATGACATTAATGAGACGAATGGCAAAGGGATCGAAATAACTGCAGTAATTATGAGAATAAGGAACACTAAACAATGAGACTATGGTTTAAAAGACAGAATGAAAAGATATGTATGAAGGATAACCGAAACCCAAAAACTAGAAGATAAAAAGTAAGTGCACTAGCGCCATGGTGGTCGATTCTGAACTATGTCATCTAACATCTCCGATCATTGATCATGATAACTGCGCTATTCTGCACTTACCAACGTGCTTCAGACCAACATTCAACGACTTACAGACTGATGTTACGTCTTGATTTAGGCGCTCCTGCCCTTTTTTCCAGTTCACTCCTGCACCAACCAACATGGCGCGGCAAAGTAGGGGATGGTTGTGCACATGTAATACAGGCTTCAACCATCACAGCCGATGAAGATCCACAATCTAACCAACCGATTTACTGTTTCCACCTAGTACAAATCCCTAACATCAGTATTGCTCACTTATTTGTTTCACTATGGTCAAACATTGATTCGAAGATACTTATGATTAAAAACTTCCAGCTTACACATGTCTTCTATTTTTATAGACCATGTTTTATAGTTATATAGTAATACAATGAAGACAGCTGCATAGTATACTTGTCCTTTGGTTGATGGATAGGCATCTTCCTCTCACCGTGAATAAAATAAATCATATGGTGAAATCAATAATTTAAAAGATATCATAATGAATAACATGATAATAAAGAAAATACAATAATATACAACCAAACCTTAATATCTTCAAGTAAATCTTCTAAATCTTCTATACCTAAGCCAACAAGAAATTGTGTCGGTTCCAAAATTTCCACTACACCTGATATTTCAAACTCCATTGAATCTTCCTCTTGATCAGCTATATATTTTGCTAACAAATCAATTGGTTTGGCACGTCCATCAGCAATACGAATACGAGAACGTAATTTAGCCTAATATTTACAATAATGAAAAAAAAAAAAAACAAATATCATATTATTAAGTGAAATATTGACAAGATTATTAAAATTTATCTTGTGTATATGCAAAGATTCAGCTAGAATATTGATGGTAATAACAGGGAAAGAAATATAACTTTAGAAAATCACACTTGAACTACTCATTGTTCATAACTATTTTAATATAATTATAAGTTATTACTTCAATTAAACTACCACTCCTTTAGTAAATACTCCCCTATCCTTGTCATATATTGAGAATTGAAATGGTTTATAAGAGTAGTTATGTATAATCAATGTTCCACCAATCTCATAATCAGTATGAACATAGACGAAACGATTGGTAACTACTAACAAGTACACAAATACAATCTTATATATATGGTGACTTTACTAATTGGACATTAAATTATTTCATTCTAACAAATCTCAAAAATAAAAAACTGTATACTTCACTAGCCTTGGACAAATATTCTATCACTGGTGCCATAAATAAATGTTAAAACTAATGTAAGAGGTTTGTATAGACTATTTAACTTCATAGCTAATATCACGAACCGACCTTGGTTAGACAATTGCGGTCTTCTAAAGGTTCACCTAAAGTTTTAGGTTCGACTTTAGGTGGGGTCGTGAATGAGTATTGTTAAGGAATAGTAGCTGCCCAATGGATCCTGGTTCTTAATAGCTTTCAAACTAAAATTAGTTCATGATGTAAACCATAAGTGATAAAAAGAAAACTTGACAAGATTAATCAGCTATTTAATTTAAATACTTGATTAATTATTTAGCTTAATTCATATAGAAGATAAAAGTTTATGTATTCGTCTTTCACTTATGTATTTTTTATGAGACATGGTAACGGAACTGTGTAACTGACTAAAATGAAGTAAGTGGAGTAGGTCTTTTTTTAAAGCCTTTTTTATGTAACTCGTTTACAAAGTACATATATATGTACTCAGTTTTACACTTTACTTTTTGTATGGAGTATGAATGGTGCTTCTTAAGTGTCTCTTGAGTGCTGTGTCTAAGTCAAATTTGATAGGATGAATCGGTTAATATATATCTCTTTATACGACCAAGCTACTCTTATTGCTTAGTATTCTTCGGAAACTTTACTTCACTCAACCAGTCCCCAAATCAGAACACGATTGAACAGAAATGAAATTACATTCCAAATAAACAAGGTTATATGGGAGTAGGATTCATAGCAAGAAAAACGTCAGTTTATTTATAATTTTGCACGAGAATATTCTAGAGTCTTTGCCAATTATCTGCTAATCGGATAAGAAATGCCCAATCAGAACGCTTCAACACAATCCTACCAGGAACATGTTGACATTCTCAAACCTAAGACTCAGTAATTAAAAACTTAATGATTTAACCAACAAACCACAATCCCACCTTAGGAGCTAGTAAATTTACAACAAACATGGATTACTGATACGTGTAGAAAAAGCTGTACTTCAAAGATTATAATACGCATAGGCCATTTTTAGGTTCAGAAGCTTCGGTAAAATGTAATAAAATCTATAATGACTCTGATAATTAGCTAATTAGAAATAACTAGGTTTAATATATCGTTATCTACATTTTCTCTGTAAGTTTTCAAAAAGACATCATTTGTCCACAGTTCTTTTCAGTATTTTTCTTTAATTCTTCTGAAGACTTGTCCGAACAACTTCTGCTAAGTAACTTTTAACAATATAAAAATATCTATCATTTACAAAACAAGATTTATGAAGCCTAGCATATTGTTGGTATAGACGACCATATAAACTGATCCGTTAAATCATAGAAATAATTCAAAGGCAATTCAACCAAAAACAAGTTATATGGTCAAAATAGAATTAACCAATGATTGTTAAGGTCAAGGTATTAAGAATTTCAATATACAAATATAGAACCATTGAAGTCTCTTAAATTAATATAGAATTGATTAGTTTTTTTAAAGTAATAATGTGTTTACGTTTTAGAAACCAAATAGATATAAGATCTTGTTCCGTTCTATTTTTGCAGGTATGCTTTGCTGAGGAATGCCAACTAGCACCAAACCTACATTCAGAGTATCCTATCGGTTAATTTCAACCATCTAACATATCAACATACTGCAGGTGATGCTAATTCACTTAGACTAATTGTCACATTGTAACTTGATTGATAGAATTAGACTAGTACTAAACGACTAGACAAAAACTACGTTAGTGATGAACCAATCTTAAAGATTTCAGTCCTATGGAAAGTTGGCCGAGGCCCAAATGGCTCTCAGTGATGTCTAAAATCTGTGCAACTGGGTAATGCGGGTCCGAATACAACAAGGAGAACCAGTCCCTTTAAGATTTTACGTGAGTCTTGTTGATCGCATTCGACTTGTATGAGACCTGGCCCTTGAATTTGCTTCCGACTAACTCCAACTGCGCACAAAATTAATTATGCTTGGTTGAGAGGCTTGTGTTGATTAAGTCAAATATGAAGATTATTTTTATCACACAACGACATCAATTGGCAAGTCACTGTGTGCTCACGCTAACCAACTGGCTCCGACATGAATTCTCGAATTTGTAGTAAACGTCTGTAACAACTAGTGCAGTTCACTATCAATACCAAGAGCGGGAAATTTACCCACCAAAGTAACAGCTGAATGATTGTTTTGCCGTATTATTGAGAACTGGTCGCATTTATAGATCATATGATTCCAGTTTAGTGACCTTACACACTACATACTCACTATGAGAAATGAAGGCCTAGCAGTTGATCCCCAAAGGGATTGTAGATGTGCACTGTTGAGACATATGACACCAGAGTAGAAATGATTTTATTTATACACAAAATAATTAACATTAGGTTTTACTGTCTTGCAAACTAACATACACAATACTGTTGGCACGCTTGGTCTATTTGCTAATATCTTAGTCCAGTAAATTAAAAAAAGGTTACTGAGCACAAAGATTGCTTAGATAACTAAAACAATATGAATATTTGACACGCCAATTTTAGTTTATCACTCAGTAAAAAATCATGCAATAAAGTTATTCATGTATGAAAAATAATCATCAACACACATTTAAATCCCTACACATGAAAAAAGAGTACACGACTGAATTCATCACATGTATCCTACAAGCATAACACTTCAGAAACCAATATAAGTAGCTAGCTATAACAGTAAAAATGAGGGAATATATCTATATACATATTTTTTTCAGCGGATAAAACAACTACTTATTTAAAATATAAGCATATAGTATACTTGTTGTAAATGGAAATTGTCTTCTTGTTGTTCCCATGATCGATAATATTCTGCTTCTTTATCTCGTTGCATCATTTCCATTTCTTTCTCATGCTGTTCACGTTCTCGTTCTCTTTCAATACGTCTACGTCGAACAGCTTCCAATTCCATTTTATTCTCTTGCATTTTCTTTTTTTGTAAGACTTGAAGCTAGGTGTAAGTTGGTATTGAGAAATAATTGAGTGATTGCAAGTGAAGAAACAGAACAGAATACTTAAACACTTAATTATTATAATAATAATGAAAAGTATGGGTTTGCCTGGTTACATTATATTAAGTATCATACGTGGTAAGATCATCTAAGAAATATAGAAATAATCTCCCTAAACATAGTATTCAATAAACTGGGTTTGAATCGCTGAAAAAGCACAGTTTCCCGTGTTAACAAGCAGAAACCAGAACTCTATGCTTTTCATTTGATTAAACTGAAAATCAAGGTACAGATATGATTTACTCACTTGTTCGCCATAGCCCCACTTTCTGTAAAGTCTCTAAATGAACAGATAGTATCATTAGAACTCATTCTTTAGACATAGCATTTGTTTGGACATGGATATGGTGGGTGGGTTACACGCAATCGCATTTTAAGGAGATGCTGTGATGCAGTTTAACTCCGCCTGTAGCTCCTCCGGGGGCTACTGTCGGTCCCAAGCCCGGGTAAAGGAGGAGGGTTGAGCATGGGGTTAGCGACCCCATCCCGTAGAAAATCAACTCGCTAAAAAAACGCTAACCAGAAAAAATCATTCAAACCATTCAAACTCTGCCCTGGGAGTAGAAGGAAAAATGACGTCTCATGATGAAAGCCGAGTTCCTTCGGAAGTCATGAGGCCGATGCACCTTCTTACAACCAGAGCGACAATTTTTATAGGTACATGGAATGTCCGGACAATGTGGGAGACCGGCAGAGTCTTCCGAATTTCTGCGGAAATGAGGAAATACAACCTGGAAGTGCTTGGAATCAGTGAAACACATTGGACGCAGGTTAGACAACAACGACTGTCTTCAGGGGAACTTCTGTTATACTCCGGTCATGAAGAAGAAAATGCCCCACATACACAAGGAGTGGCACTGATGCTGTCTAGAAAAGCACAAAATGCACTTATAGGATGGGAATCTCATGGACCGAGGATCATCAAAGCCTCCTTCAAAACAAAGAGAGAGGGCATTACAATGAACATCATCCAATGCTATGCGCCGACCAACGACTACGAGGAAGACGCTAAAAACCAATTCTACGATAGGCTGCAGTCAATCTTCGAGAAGTGCCCAACCAAGGACCTGACCATTCTAATGGGAGATTTCAATGCCAAGGTTGGAAAGGACAACACTGGATACGAAGACGTCATGGGACAACATGGACTGGGAGGAATGAACGAAAACGGTGAGAGATTTGCAAACCTATGTGCCTTCAATAAACTGGTCATAGGTGGCACCATATTCCCACACAAAAACATACACAAAGCCACTTGGATTTCACCGGATCACACTACACAGAATCAAATCGACCATGTCTGCATCAACAAAAAGTTCAGGAGGACGATGGAGGATGTGAGAACCAGAAGAGGAGCTGATATAGCATCCGATCACCATTTGCTGGTCGCCAAGATGAAACTAAAACTCAAGAAGCACTGGACAATGGCGCGGATAACATCACAAAAGTTTAACACGGCCTTTCTTCGAGATGCTGACAAACTCAACGAATTTAACATAGCCCTCAGCAACAGGTTCGAGGCCTTTCATGACCTACTCAATGGAGAGGGAACCACCATAGAGAGCAGCTGGAAAGGTATCAAGGAGGCAATCGTTTCAACATGTCAGGAGGTTCTGGGTCAAAAGAAGCACCATCACAAGGAATGGATCACTGTTGGTACACTGGATAAAATTGAAGCAAGGAGGAACAAGAAGGTAGCAATCAATATCAGCCGAACAAGAGCAGAAAAAGCCAAGGCACAAGCCGAGTACACAGAGGCAAACAAGCAAGTGAAGAGGAGCATCAGGACCGACAAACGTAAATATGTGGAAGATTTAGCGACTCTACGTATCATTGTGGAACAATCAATCGAATGGAATTCATCACTGTACATCAACTTCATCGACTACGAGAAGGCATTTGATAGCATGGACAGGACGACACTATGGAAGCTTCTTCGACACTACGGCGTGCCTGAGAAGATAGTCAATATCATACGGAACTCCTATGATGGACTAAACTGCCAAATCGTCCACCGAGGACAACTCACCGACTCGTTCGAGGTAAAGACCGGTGTTAGGCAAGGTTGCCTACTCTCACCCTTTCTCTTTCTCCTGGTGATCGAATGGATTATGAAGACGTCAACATCTGGAGGAATGCACGGGATACAGTGGACAGGCAGGATGCAGCTTGACGATTTAGACTTCGCGGATGATCTGGCTCTTCTATCACAAACGCAACAACAAATGCAGGAGAAAACGACCAGTGTAGCAGCAGCCTCAGCAGCAGTAGGTCTCAATATAAACAAAGGGAAAAGCAAGACTCTCCGATACAACACAATATGCACCAATCCAATTACACTTGACGGAGAAGCTTTGGAGGATGTGGAAATCTTTACATATCTGGGCAGCATCATTGATGAACACGGTGGATCAGATGCAGATGTGAGGGCGCGGATCGGCAAAGCAAGAGCAGCATACCTACAGCTGAAAAACATCTGGAGCTCAAAACAATTGTCAACCAACACCAAGGTTAGAATTTTCAATACAAATGTCAAGACAGTTCTTCTGTATGGGGCAGAGACGTGGAGAACTACGAAAGCCATTATCCAGAAGATACAAGTGTTTATTAACAGCTGTCTACGCAAGATACTTCGGATCCGATGGCCAGACACTATCAGCAACAAGTTACTGTGGGAGACAACAAACCAGATTCCAGCGGAGGAAGAAATCAGGAAGAAGCGCTGGAAGTGGATTGGGCACACTTTGAGGAAATCACCCAATTGTGTCACAAGACAAGCCCTCACATGGAATCCTGAAGGTCGAAGGAGAAGAGGAAGACCAAAGAACACATTACGCCGAGAAATAGAGACAGACATGAGAAGAATGAACAAGAACTGGAAAGAACTAGAAAAGAAGGCCCAGGACAGAGTGGGTTGGAGAAAGCTGGTCGGCGGCCTATGCTCCATTGGGAGTAACAGGCGAAAGTAAGTAAGTGATGCAGTTTAAGAATAAATAGATCACGCTAATAGTTGGTTTTATACTATTCTAAAACATGTCAACGAGAATCTTTACCAGTGCTTTATCGTGTGATATATGGAGAATCAACAAGACTCATATCTTAATAAAAGCATCTTAATAAGAGTCACTGGTTTATACTGCTTTTTTAATAAATATACGATAGTCGGTGGGATATCAGTAGGGTGAAAGAATCTCTAACACCTAAAGTGGTTGAAAAATGCATTACGTATGCTCAACCACTTTCTCAATCGACGCGCGATGTTAGCTGGTTTGAGAGTAAATTGAGAGAAATCTAGGGAAGCCCAAACCAAAAGGTAACATCTATCCACAAAGTTATTATGTGATGAACTGAACCGTGTAGGTAAACTCAGGCTACCAAGTTGAAGTCTGCGATTATTGCAACAAATTTTTGGTGTTGACAGGCATGACTCAAAATATGTCGCAGTAACGTAAATGCATTCACTTTATTTTAAAATACTTATACTTTGCATTCTGGAAATTTATTCTTTCTTCTCGTACCACATTGTCTATGCCTAAAATTTCCCATTACCATTAGTACTGTAGCTAATTCTATTAATCTGTCCTGATAATGTTACCTTCCTATGCTGATGTGCTATAACAACTTGGACCGATATATATATATATATATATATATATATATATATATATATATACCAGGTTCTATGTTGCCTATGACTAACTGACTGAAACTGAAAGATGGTTAGATGTGACCAAATAATAACATGAAGTTATTCCATAAGATCATTAATTGTTGGATTAGGCCATATTGTAAGATGCAAACTTCCCGGTCTGAGTTGGTGCAGCAATCTCAGTTAACAATTGAGGACCGTGAGTAAAGTGGCTCGAAATCAATTGCAGTGGCATAGCTGAATACATTTTCTTTTTATCTTCTATTTTAATGTTATTTTATATTTCTTATCCCGTGATTTTGTTCGACATTACCAAACCATATTCTCTACGTTTAGCTGATACCACTATTTTATTATAAGTATCATTATCTTGACTCATGACTTTCTTCCTAATTTCTTCTTATATTTATGTGAATTCTGTCAATTTGTGTCGATGGAAATTTACGCTTAAGTCGTTTATGGTTAACTGATGTAAGGTTTGAACTAGTTGAGAAACAATATCGAATTAACTATCAACAGATAATCAGCGCGAATAGCATAAACCTTTTTTCAAAAAATTACCATCTCTAAAGAACAGGAAGATTAAAACCTACATCCTCTTTGGACAAATGTGACAATCCTTGTCTTTCTAATTTCCGTTTCCAGACAAATGATTCAGAAAGACGATGATCACCGAATGGATTATCTTCATTTGTATAACCTAAATACTCTTTATCCCATCCCATTCGTTCGCGTCTCCAACGTTCTTTAGCTTCTTTTTTAGCTAAACGTCTGGCTCGTTTCTCTTCTGGTGTTTCTAGGATTTTCATCAAAGCCTTTGAATATTTAAGGAAGGAAATAATTAGTAATAAGGAAATAATCGTAAATGCGATAGACTTAGAATTCTTGTCTACAAGCCCTTTTTGTCACGCTATAGTGACCGAAAAAAAATAAGTTGAACTATTATCCACAAATAAGACCAACTTTTTAGACAATCTACAGTTATGTACAAAGCCATGAGTTGGATTTATTAAATACAGAAAAGTTGTATAATTTCTAGATAAATGAAAGTAGATGGTTTGCAAGATTTTTGTTTAAGAGTTAAGCTTACAGAGTCACGGTCCTCAGTTCTCATTTTATTTTCTTTATTTAGTAGGTACAGACTCATGTACTTGACCCCGAGCTAACGATATTAGCCAGTTATCTAAACCGAGATACATGGAACAGTGTTAGGATCTGAGAGTTAGTTGTCTGAATTCTAGTGATGAATTTAATGTGAGTCCCAACGTAGATACTCATAACCTTATGTTCACAAACAATTAATAACAGTGATAATCCGTTTCTTATAGGACATATCTGAAACAATCTAAATAATATCATCAAAAAATAAGGTAAATAAAATGCAAAAATATACACCCAGATTACTCGTGATTAGGGTAGGGGTTGAGGTCTAAACAAGAACGGACTAAATATTCTGTAAATTAACAGAGCTGTTACAAAACAAAATCTTAATATAAGTCCAACGCATATATCATACGATTAGTATTCCCTAGTAAACATTTAACCTTTGTTTTCGAAAAGACTAGCTAATTTTGGATTTTTCCCCCATTTGAACAAAAACCATTTGCAGTCCGAAAAGCGTACATATTCGTATCATAACATCGGGAAATGTTACGTCAGTAAAGAGTGACAAAATGAGCAATAATTCCATCGCACTTATTACTCTTTTCATTCCGACCACAAAATACCTCCTGCAAAAATAAGATATTTACATTGGTTTTTTAATGCTGTTTTTGTTCGTTCATTGTAGCATAAAACAATATAGTAGTTTTGCTTTTAATAGATAATGCGTGCAACACAGTTTACTGACCGTAGTCGATTTAGTAAAATTAACCAGTAATAGTGTGTACAAAATCGTGCATGCCACAATAAAGTACACTTCATTTCTGTACTAACGCTGAAAATGAAAGGGTAGAAACGAGCGAATCTTAAGAAAGTTGGACAGTTCATTGATATGTAACAAGAATCGACTGAAGCACTAACACAGAATACAGTATGTTGGTGTTAGATGTCAGTGGTTATAATTTTGAATTTGACTTTCGTATCTGCAGCTTAAGAAGCCATATGCCCCCGTGAACAATTGAAATATCATATATTACAGTCTGAAACATAGCTACCAAGTGCAGGATTAAATACACAGCTTGGAGCCACACAATTAATGTAGGAACAATTGATACTATTAAACCGCCTAAACATAAATAGATGGAACAAGTTCTGAACCTGCTAGCCTAATGTTTTAACCACTGAACCACCTCGTTATGTTCTTATACCCTGGTTAGTATATCACGTGATAAGATCGCCAATTAGACCCGAATTGTACGACCACACTAATGACGCATAAACTAGTACGAGCAGCGATGAGTTCCTACTGGTCCTCCGAGATAGTAGCTTCTCTTCTAACCCAGCCGGCTCAGTTCAGAACGCCAACATCAGTCTCCGCTATACGAATCATATATTTCAGAAATACTGGGTTTATATGCAAACAAACCATACAGCATAATACCATAAAATAAAAAATAACAATTATACAGGATCAGGCCAAAAAGTGGCTGTGATTGTAGGAGACTGTTACCAATAAATTGGAAATATCTTAAGAGTAAATCGTATAATAACAGTCAATAGGTCAAATAAAAGCTCATAATAAAAGGGATATGAATATAATATAGTTACTTAATAGTTATACAATAAGAATATATATATATATATATAATAGTCCACAAATATATCCTAGCGGTTACTGTCCGCCTATTCTTCGTATGGATATAACAACTCACATGGTTTTGCCTGTTTCCACGTAAAATCATATCCTGATTAAAATAGGTAATCCTGATTTTCCCGTATTATCCTCCCTCACGAAACAATGTTGGATATTCATATGCCCACGTTACAAATGAGGTGGCTTTATTTACAGCATGTTTCTCACATTTACTAAAGAATTCACTAGAACTGACTGCATTAGAAGGATAAACAATGGGTCGATGTGAAATCGTTCAAACTCTAATTAAGTTAGAACTCATTTAGGAATCGTGTTTCACATTGAACAAGTTTCCCATCAGAAATAAATACATTATGCTGACAAATAACATTTACTATGACAACATCAGAATTTGATTGTTCCGAAATATTTTCCTCAATTTTATTAAGAATCCGATTGGTGAATAATGAATCATTAGAAAAACCAGTATCTACCAAAATCGCATCAGATCTTCGATCATGGATTGATGCATTCGACACATTTTTATCGTATTTATAAGAAATTTCATCAAAAATATGTGAATCATTGAAACAACCCTTATCTGGTAAAATAACTTGATAATTGACAGGCCAAGAAAACATAACGATTGGCGACGTGAGTGAAAGGTTTATAATCTAAACTTTCATAAGAGCAAATTACTTTTGGTAGACGCATAAAGAAACCAGTGTAAACATCTTATTTTTGCCGGAGGTATGTTGTGGTCAGAATGGAAAGAGTAATAAGTCGGAAAAAATTATTGCCCATCTTGTCGTTCATCACTGACGAAACATTTCCCGATACTATGGTATGAAGAGAAACTACACGACAAAAATTAATTCATATATTCTGCTACGCTCATTGTTTTCGCTGTGATCAAACTAAACATTTTCCTTGAAACATTTGTCTCATGTTTGTATACATTAAGTTAGTTGTAAATCGTATTAGTTTTTAATTCACTATGTACCCAAGCAGTGTTTGTGGAATAAGTGATCTATACTGCCTAACTAATTACTAAGAATGACACCAATCAACTGATATATATATATATAGAGAGAGAGAGAGAGAGCCTTAGTCAACTTTACTAATGAGGAAAATTGTATGGAAATGTATGGTAACTGCCTACCTTCTTTTGTCGCCTTTCTTCACTAATCTTTTGTATTTCTTCCAGTGAAAGAGACAACAATTCCTTGGGAACAGTAGCAGATGATGTGTGTTTCTTCGTGGTTCCATTATCAGAGCGATTGTCACATGACGACGATGATGATGAAGAAGACGATGAGTTAGAGGATGACCTTCTATGCTTTTTTCTTTTCTTTTTGGAAGAATGGTGGGATTTCTTGTGTTCTGAATGGGTTGTTGACTTAATCGAACTATGAGGCCTAGTCTTGCTATGTTTATGATTAGACGACCGACTGACATAAGACATTTTATCATCGTTACTATCAACACTAGAACTTCTGCGGTGATTTACAGTAGCCTTATCGTGTTTGTAATATGAGCTGACTTCCGACTTAATTTTATGACTCATCTCCGAGAAACGACTGTAATTTATCTGAAAACAAACACTTAATAAATGGGAGGGATAAATGGGGTAAAATGAAAAGAAACTCTGTGCAATATTTCATTATATTTTACTACAACTGTACAAGTACTGAGTCAAGAAAGACTAGTTTTTGTGTCTGAAATAGTAATCGATGGCAGTAGAGAATATTGAGAAACCAGCAGCTCCCAAAAGACCGGCTTGTAAACCAGCTAGCAAAATCTAAATGAGTATCACGTATAAACAAAATTACCTCGAAAACCTATTCCACCACCGACTATTGCACCTGACAATGTACTATTCAGAAGATCACTCTTTCCACGGTACTAAAAAACCAATATCACAAAGCCATAACATAGCTTACACTCTCAAGAGCACATTCAGTACCAGCGAAAAGTGTCCCAATCATAGCAAAACTCTTGGCATGTGATAATGAACGGGAATACATTTCCTTCATAACTTGGCGAGTAGTTGGAGTTTCCGCACCATATACTGTACTCATTGGGTCCACACTGGCTGAAAACAACCCAAATATACCGCCCAAAACAAAACCTATATATTTATGTGGTGGTTATTTCAAGTTGACCGAACCTCCAAAGCAGCTTAACAGAGCTTTAAATGGACAACTGTCCATTACCCGGCGCACCATTAATTCTTCATTTGGTGGTAAAGGAAAAGTTAATAATTTCATGCGAATCAACTTTTCAGGATCAGAAAAGATGTGATTACTAATCGTTCTTTTTAAGGATGATGGATCATCACCGTTTAATGCAGCGCTCAGTTCTTTTGAAAAATTTACGTAACGAATTCGATCCGCGTCTGAAAGGTTTAAGTAGCCTTTATAACGCTCAAAAAGAAGTTCTCGTATCGATGTTTCTTCATTTTGAATTTCTTCTGACATCCTAAGAGGAAAATACGCGAGATCTACATAAGCTGATAATTTTTACACTGATATTCTCACTCAGAGCGACTTAAAAATAGAGAACTCGACAAAACATTCAATTATTTTTGTTGGTGTATGTAAAAAATAGCTAATTTGTAGCAAAAGACCAAAGGTCATAGATGATTATTTGCAGACTTAAAGGGTTATCATTGACATTACAGGAAAAAACGTACAATCGTTAACATCAAATACAGACCTTGTGTTTTGAAAGAAGCGAGTTGTTATGAGCCGAGTTCACATAAAATTGAATTTCAAGTTATGATTTCTTAAAAACGTACTTCGGGTTGATAAAGCCCTATCCTCATAGTATTAGGGATGTAATTTTGAATGGATTATTTTACAGCCTATAACCTAGGTTATGAAAATCGGTTTTAACTGTTTTATTTGGATTTACATTTGCATGATCTTCAGCGTAACTTGAGACACCAAGGTGTTTAATGTGAAAGTTTATAAAACTCCAGGCCTATTGTTAATGAACTAACAGCATTCCTTAAACATTTGGTGTATAGTGTTTTTGAGACCCAATTCAAAACAATCGGTAGAACTTTCATTAACTTACTTAACATCTATCTATCTGATAAATCAATTTCAGAGTAAATAAAAAAGAGTGAGATGCGTCATATTCGAGAGAAAACAGGCCCCCGAAAACAACCCATTGCCGATTACCTGCTCATTTGAACTTATTTTTGATTCACACAGTTTACGATAAACAGTGACTTGTTAGCAATGCTTATCAATACCACAGTTAATTACAGTTGGATTATACTAAGGATGAATCTGGATGACGTTTTTCTGAAAGAGCGACGTCTGCCAGTGAGCTGGTCTCGAAAGACAGCTATTTCAGTCTTTTAAAATCCTCATCGTGGACTTAATTTTAGATACAGCTTCAACGCCTGTGTTATTACAGGTCTCTACACTAAAACACAGCTCAAAGCCGAGTACATGAAACCTTACTTATTTACCGTATTGAAAAAAGTTAATGTGCCTGGAAAAATCATGACCCTAACATAAAACGAAAATTAGCAAATTTATTGACTTCTTTAATTCTTAAATGAAAAACACTGTAAGGATTCTTGCTTTTTATGTTAGATTTCTCAGTACAATGCTACTAACTCTAAATCACAACCTACGAACACCAACGAAGTCAAAATGTTTGATAAAGGCATGTCTAAGGGATGCCACAGAGAAAGAAGGATAACTAATATCTTTATGCACATAATGCAATGCACTTTTGACAAGTTTTCTATTATATTCTACATCATTTGGACAGATACAGTATATATCAAAGGTATATACAAGAACACTGACACTAGCCCTGACGATAATAGGCAACAAAGGACCAACGGGATATTCAGCGTACTTTGAGAAGTCTGACAATGAACCAAACGAAAAATTTAGAAGGAAACACACAGCTGTGTTTGTGCTGATAGCCCTTACATAAAGCCAGTTTCATCTATCTCTTTGAAAAACGCATAAGACAAGCAAAACTGTGCGCGGGGAGACTATAATTTATGGACGAACCAATATAATTTACGATAACAGGTCTTGGATTTCCGTGTTAAATTCTTTAACTTTTTGGCTAAATAGCATCTTGGTATTTCAGCTTATGTCAGTTCGTGATGAAAACCCTAAGTCCAATCCATATCCCTGCCCATCAACTGTAAATCACAATCCTTCACACAAGTTTACAACCCTCATTTAGCCCTAGTTAGTGGGTGAGCATTCTCAAGGCCACTTTGAAGTGACTCCAATTAGAGTCACTCAAAGGTTGTCCATAAATTATAGTCTCACCGCAAAGCCCCTGAAAATACGAAAATACTCATTTACTCTAGATATATCATTAAAAGGTCGTAATGTTCGACTATGGAAAGTTATGCATCCAAGTACTTTGCAAATAGCTAAGTTACGCTAATTACGAAAATTGCGCTCATCCTAAAGCTAATGTTCAAATGGTTCAAATGGTTGAGGACGGAATAGAAGAAGCTTTCGCTTAACGGGCTTCCGTGTCTGGTAGCAGTGGATCACCAATACCTCCAGGTAAGAACCTAGGTATATGAACGATAATAGAGGGGAAAAAAGAATTTGGTAAATCATAATAATATGTTATCCTTAGTCCTTAAGAATAAGTCAAGTTTCCTCTTAAAGGACTCCTGGGAGGTCGCTTGGACTAGCTCAGTCGGTAGCGAATTCCAGCACTTAACAACTCTAACGAAGTAGAAGTTGTGTTTGCAGTCTGTTCTGCTATGTAGGGTCTCCAATTTCTGGGTGTTACCTCTGAGGTTAGTGTTATGACTAAGCTTAAGAAGATGTTTAAGGGGATGATCAGAAGTATTAAGGATACTATAAGTCATAAGAAGATCACCTCTAAGACGCTTGTACTCTAACGGGTATAGGTCAAGTGATTTGAGGCGCTCTTCATAAGGTTTGAATTTGAGTCCCCGAACTGATTTCGTGGCTCGACGTTGGATACGTTCCAGAGTGACCTTATCCTTTTGGAGGGAGGGAGGAAATACTATGTTTCCGTACTCTAAATGGGGACGAATAAAACTGTTGAAGATTATATGGAAGGTTCTACCGTCAAACTGGCCAAAAATGCGCTTCAATGTTACCAGTGCAAGGTTTGCCTGAGAGGCGTTTTTGTCACAGTTCGCATGCGATTTCAGGTCGTAGGGTACCAACACTCCTAAATCTTTTTCAACTTGGGAAACTTCTAGAGGTGAGTTACCTAAGTTATAACTATAGTCTGCAACATATCTCAGATGGACTACCTTGCACTTTGAAGTGTTGAAGGTAAGTCCGTTGTCGTCTGCCCAACTTTGAAGTCGAGTCAGATCCTCTTGAAGAACTAGTATATCATTATGATTACGTATCTCTCTCCAAAGTTTCACATCATCAGCAAAAAGCAATAAGTCAGATGAAACTTGTTGAGGAAGATCGTTAATATAAATCAAGAAGAGAAGAGGTCGTAGTATTGAACCCTGGGGGACCCCACTAGGACATTCCATAGCCTGAGAGAGAGTGAAGTTAACCCTGACCTTAAAGTGTCGGTTATCTAAATATGAAGATAGCCAATCAATCAAAGGGGGTTTTATACCCAATCGTCCAAGCTTCTTGATAAGACATGCGTGGTTGACCCTATCAAAAGCTTTTGAGAAGTCCAGGTAGATGACGTCAACCTTCTCCTTGCGATCAAGGATGGTTGTCCATCTATCCACCGCAGTGTATTCCCCAACATCTCCAATGTCTTTGTCACGAGCTAGCATAAACCAGATGATTTCCTTGCACTTATTCCCTGTTGTTTCAGTATCATTTCACGTATTTGGCAATGTCCGATGGGTGTTAGTCTAGCCATTCGACTGCACTAATTCTAATGGATCTTATAATCATTTGCAGATTTATTTATTCTTCAATTCTAGTGAATGAATTTGTTTCAGAGCAGTCAAAAGGTAAACACTTCAACGGAAATCTGGTCACTTGGGAGTAGACACGAAAGCTTGAGTGGTTTACAATTTTTCCCGGTCATCTACCTTCCCATTTGTACTTAATTATTTATATTCTTTGACGTGAATTGTCTGTTGCTAGAGGAGTCACTTTGTTAGTGAGACATCTCCGCCACTAAGGTTTAGTGAGGGATCGTGTGGATGGACTCTTTTCTCACAACAATCGCTTCGTCATTAGCTTTGATTCAGCGTCAGTAGGATTCCGATCATCTCACTGTTCCAGTGATAATGGGTATTATTGCGTGGCAAGTAAAGGAACTCGCTAACAGTACAATCAAGCACCCACCACTTTGGATTCATCTGGCTTTGATGACACCATACGTTGTTCATTCACCAATCACAAACTTGCCCATTTCTTATAAACGAGACTGAGTTCCACAGATATGTTCATTGTGTCGCTTAGTCACTATTCACCAAAAGTTATTTCATATATTTATTGATTTCTGTTTTTGTTTCAACCATATCGATCCGTGTTTCAGAAACAGATAAGGTTTCACCAGTAAGCTTAAGTAGCTGATCTTTACTTTAGCCGGACCGAGACTCTG